TACGATATGATGTCCTACACTACTAGATTGTCCAAGCAAGCTTTTCTTGCCACATCGCAATGACAACATCGAATTCATTTCACCTAATATACGAGTTACGGCAAGCAGGTGATTGTATGGGCGTCACTTGAGGCCAATATTCCCTCACAAGTACATTTCACATCAAGAGGATAGCGTCTCAATTATTGTTAAAATGGACTGTAGTTCTTTAATCGGCAAATTCTGTCGTTTTGTCCAGTATAAAAAAAGTACAGCCAATATGAAAGCAATGGTTCAAGCTCTAGCTTTCGAGAGTATTAGGCTAAATTGGGAGCATATTCCTGTCTTATTCTATCTCTCTTTTTTTCATCAGAGAAGTCTCCTACCATATACTACACTATGCTCATCTACTAACGTCACGTTTACTGTTTCGAAATGTGCCCTACATCTCATGCTCATTCATTCGCTCAAACCTCCAGGTGAAAAATTCATTGTCAGCAGTTAGTTACAGCCTAATAGTGGCCGTTGGCTGACGTCAAGAATCAAACTCAATAAATTGTGCCGCATGCTATTGCCCTTGAGAAAAAACTGTAGAACTGCCCATTCTACAAAAACTTCTACTATGGTAGGGCAATTGTTAAAAAAAGTTGATTTTCTTTATGAGTTTTAATTTCTTCCTATTCCCTGCTTGCTATGCTGGTTATGTGTTTTTCATAATACTCTTGGCCACTACAACCAAATTGGCAGTCCCCTCAGGTCAAAAGCTACTTAGACTTTTTCAGCTCTACCCCTTTCTTTCTTGTTATTTCACCGAGAATTATTTGCAGATACGATTTTTCAAAATCTATAATGTTCGAATGACAAACAGCAAAAAGACTTCCGCTCTAGGGCAAACTTCAAGATCTGAGAGTGTTCTTGTTCATTAAATAACATACAAAAACGGTCATTTTTACGTTTAATCAGAGCCTAAGACTGTCACGAGCGCGCCTTTGAATTGTTCGTCTTAAATTTGTTTTCGCTTTTCATCTCAGTCAAGTGCAAAATGAACAATGTAGTGAAAGAGAAACATTGTTAAACGCATTTATTTTTGATGTGAGTCTCAATAATAGAGTTAGCTGATATAATAAAGAATGTGATCTATGAGCATAGACATATTACTCATAAGCTTACATCCTGACATATCCAAGCAACTGCTACAAGAACCATTTCTGATTGTAAAACAACACCTTAGCAAATTTTATGCGCAAAAATACATGTTTGGATGATAAACAACTTGCACATCACTTCTAATTTTTTTACTGCTACAAGTAGATACGTTTCAAAAAACACTTCTTGTAATTACTCACTTGATTGACTGCTACATTTACTTTATAATCATTTATTATATTTCATTGCCTACTACTTCAAACCTCTGAGTATCTCATTAAACTGCAATCAATTTTATTTCCTCATTTTCTCCAACGAGTAATCTTACTGACGCGGTTTCTAGAAGAACCTATCCAGACAAGCGTAAAATTCCCCAGAGTGATGAAATAATTCATTCTTATTGAAGTAATTCACCGTTTGCGTCTTATTAGCAAATGAATGCATTTGTAGCAAGCTCCGCCCTGATACTCTGTAGAATCAAAAGCTGTTCAAAAATCGTATGTCCATATTTCACAATCAAGAATCTGGAATATTACCTTTCAAGCATTTTTGCCAACAGTTATGAATAGTATGATCTTGATTGATTACTGAAAATGCGGTTGATCCGATTACTTTAATTGAAAGTTTAATCCCGGAGATCAAACGTAGGCTATCCAATTACTATGTTTGAAATTATCCCAAAGATCAAATGCCTTTGTTTCAAAGAAGGGACGAAGTGGGAATAAATTACAAAACAAATTTCAATGTGTCGAATTTCACCTTTAGCCTGGATTAGCGTTAGAGCGAACAGAATCACAAATGCATTTTGAACTACGCACGATTCTCTTCCTACGGGCAGCAAATTTCAATGATTTTTACTGACAAAATTTATAGTATATTCCACATCACGTGATAAGATCCCTATACTCATCGTAACTCTTTAAATAATCGCTCATGATAAAGTCCATGCTTTATTCTATCAAAGCGTTTACTCACCTAGATTATTTTTTCGTAAGAATTATGACTACTAGCCATTCCGACATTATTATTCACCTGCACCTGACGTAAGCAATCATCTAGGCTGAGATATTTCTAGCGCAATCATACATTCCCAGAAGCGACAATCGTACTATAGTCCAAGTTCTTCACCACACAAATTCTTGCTTACATCAAACTACAATTTGGTATTTGTCTATTCGCACACAAAGTTGCCGCTATAAAGGTGTATGTTTTTGGACAATTTTGGCCGTAGATAGCAAATATTTTGTCTCACACAAACTGTGATAGTCGCCCATTTAGATTTGAATCCTAGCACAGTCGATTTTCATGTCGGTTACCATCTATAGTCACTTTGTTTATACGAAAGTCTCAGCTCACCATAGATTGTGACAGAAAGGGTAATAGCGCCTTTTGTTTTCTAATGTGTTCAGATGACTTTCAGACGATAAGCTATGGTCCGATCTTTAGCCCAATAATCTATTTGCGTCATATCTCCTGCTCACTCATACTACTATGTTTTCCATGGAATTCTCTCGTGACTGTATTTTTTATTAGATGTATGATTTACTGCCGGCTTGCGCGAGCTTGTCAACGAGATTGTTTGCTGATTTTATTTGATTTATATTTGGTTTTCATTTCGCAACTCTGAGTATCCATAATAATATCAGCATCACATGCTCTACTCTCATCTCCCTATTTTTTCTTAAAGCTGAACTCTTTTGCTGTGTTTATTTGAAGAGGATCCAATGACCAGACAAAAGATCCCATTCTTTGTGCAGGTCTGGTGTGAATTCGCTTAACAAATCAACAAATTCTAGGCAAAACCATTTTCAGTAAGGTAGATTCTGACGGTGATTGTTGCGCCTCGGTGGACTTAGTACACCCTAGCCTCGCTCGACAGCTCTACATGACTAGCCTCGATCCCTGGGACGTTGCGCGGCCGCAGCCGACGGTACCTTCTTGCGCGTCCAGTTGATGCGATCATCCAACACCAACTGCCCGTACACAATGCGCGTCTAGTCTAAGTAAATTTACTTACTAAATAATAAAAACAGAATTCATTACAAAGTTACTAAACTGCGAAACTACTAACCTAAGAAGTAACTAAAATAATAACACGAGACGAACCGCGTCACTCCGGGCTGCTTTCCAGACTCATCCAACATAGAAGAGTCTAGGTTGCTCCACACGGTCCACCGCTAGAAACCCTAGTCCATATGGAGGCGAAACACCAGCTCCATTATCGCATCGTCAAAAATCTACTAATTTAAGAACCCTTTCCGCGCTCGTGTGCGTCCTACACAATACATTTGAATGCTCGACCGCTCAACATAAAAATTCTCTCATGCGGGAGCTACTGAAAACGACGCCAGCATGATAAGAGAACGATCACCAAGTTTGCCTCTTTACTTCATTTTCGATCAGCGATCGAAAACGAAGTAAAGAGCTTAAGCCTGCTTTCTGTGCAGCCTTATATACCCCGCCACTTGGCATCGTTCCCAGCCGGAGTGGTCCTGCGGCGGCTACAAAAGGCAAGATAAGTAAACGCAACATACTGCCAGCGCCCCGGCGCCTGTTCCGAGCCGTGACGGTGACACGTCCGTATGAAATACTCGAAATTTTCCGTCGGTAATTACCAAATTTATGCCTGTAGATGGCCAACCAAATGAAAAACCACCAAATGACTTTTCTGTATTTCCTAGTTTCTACAGCCTGCAGTGAGTGTACAGATGAGGAACTTTGTAAATGGATGCATAATAATGTGTCGAATGCCGAATCACGATGAATTCAATAGATAGAAATACAAGAATCTCTTCCCAGGTGTGCAGAATCCGCTTTACAGCTCATCGTTTGTGACATCTATGGTCGTACAAATAACTGCAGATTCAAATATGTGTGCGTATCATCTGTACCTTTTACATACAACATCGCTTTCTTTATTGCATGGTTTCGAAAATTTAATGAAAAAGCCGACTCGTTCCGCTTTTGTGCACAATCTTGCCGTCGAAAAAAATGCTTGAACAAAGTCGACCATTTGATTTTCCTTAACTTATCCAAGGATACCAGAAAACCATGAAGAAATCTGTCAACGTTTCTACAAACCATCAAGAACGAGATCATTTATTAGCCAGCTAATAATAAGCACAAGGATACCGGTAGCATTGGGGTCTACCGAGGAGATTTACACTATTGAGGTCCCTCTTGAACAATGATATTAACATATTCGCTTTTCAAACCTGCGAAGCGAAATAATGTAAATGGTCCACTCAAACTACAGTATTCCACCGTGATTGGAGTCATTCAAATTGGGCAATGCGTACGAATACACAATGCGACACGTATTCACGCTGTGAATTTTTGATGTCTACGCAAGCAATTAGAGGAAGTTCCACTACTTCGGAAATTCTCAGAGAAAAATCTCATACCAGCAAGCGCAGCGAAAGACCTGTGCAAAAATGTTGAGAAAAGAAGCTCCTTTTTCGCCGCCAATTAAGGAAAGCCATGCCAATCTTGCTTAAGTTTTCAGAGTGATTACGGTAGCATACGTCTATATACACGGTAGGCGGGATCTTTCCAAACACCTGGCGCAATGCCCTTAGAATTCAAAAATGCTCGTCCTAAAATATATTGAATTTTTGAACCAGATGTGTTTTCTTTGGTTACTTCGGAAGTACTTCAAAGTGCTACATTGCAACACTATCTACCTACTTCTGTGCCGAAAATCTAATTTTTTACGTCTCTCACTGAGAATCTATAATAAGATGTTTTTGTTGACTGTTATTGATTTTTTGCCTTCAAAAATACTTCATTTGTTTTTGATGTGCACTCATTCTCCATAGCGTCGTTACCGTGTCTTAGCATTTTGACGTCACTTCTACCGTAATCCTCTAATTCTCAGGACTACAATACGCTAACAATCAATCATGTTATGGGTCTCTTACGTGCTCAAGTCCACTCAGTGCTGTTTTTTAATCATTGCCATTTATGTATATGTTTACCTAGCTACGATTATTTGGCGTAAAATGGTGAGTTAACAAATAGACCGAATACTTTTTATACTTTTTCTACCAATTCTCCTTATACAAACAAAATCAGAATTCCACAGAATGTTGCCTAGCAACTAGAAGAATACATACAATCAAGTACAATTATTGGTTGGCGCTGATTTACGAGTACACTGCACTATGAATAAGATTTCAGCCTGAATCTATTTCAAATGTTTGTATAGAAGCTTATAGGGCAGTTTTGACAGCGAATTCTAAATCGTTTGCAATAAGGTACTTAGACATTAATCTTGAATTTAAATAAGATGAAAAATGCTTTTAGAAACGTTTGAATAATAGAGAAGCATCGATAATTCTTGCAAAAGACCCCCTTCGACGCTTTAGAGTTTTCAGCCCATGAAGAGCTGAGGTAGCACAAATCTGCCAAAAGAAAAATTACTCACCTTTTGCCAGTCGTGGACGTACCCGCCCAGCAAGAGAAAACTCCATTCTGTGTAATTTGTTGAAATAGATCACTGAACAATATGCCTATAATTTACTTTTTAGTAAAGACAAAGAGTCGTGTAACCGCTCCAAGTGTGCTTGAAAAGAATTGAATGAAAAGTTCACCGCTGGCTTATACCATGACTACATAATATTCGCGAAGACTTTTCACTGGAAAATATTAGGTTTGCAAAGAGAGTTCTGTGGCCCGTTTTCGAAAAATCTAGCCTCTTCCTACTACGATGACTAGCCGTCGTTTCTTTGCGCTGTCTCACTTGCTACGCCTGAGCGGCCCTCTAGTAGAAGGTTACATTCACGATTTGTTTGAGTTTAGGTATTTGAACCTTCTACTTCATACAACAACTACTTAGGTTTTTTATCATCATTGAAGGACGATTATGCCCCAACATGGCTGAATATTTAAATGTTCAAATTTTCGACTTTACAAGTTTTGTTTTCATGCTGTGACCAATATGAAGATGACTTTGATATTTGGATACAAACAAGGTTTTCTCAATCTAACGAACAACAATAAAAACTGTAAACTGCCCTATGAAATTCTGTTATTAGAAAAGCGAAATTTTCTGAATCTCACTTCCATGCGCCCTTTTTCCTTGAACAGAATTCGTTGCAATTCTCACTGAAGTGCTCTTTCCAAAAAAACCAACTATCGGACAAAATCTGTCTACAACATTTCTTAGCACCGGGAAAGTGTGACCAAACTTATTCATTAGCTAACTTTGTAGTGATATAAGTTTCATAAACCATGGGTCAATCAAGCCTCTTCATGAAGAATCATGATTTTTAGTTTCAAATAGCTGGAACTAACAATTTTGTTATTTTCCAAAAAATTTTATGGCAGTGTTGCATATGTGACCGCTGGACAAATGGACCGCTGGACAGTAAGCACAAACTAGATAGCAAGACTTAGCAGCCCATCAAATGCTCAAAGATTAGGGAAGTCCGATTCCTAGAACAAGTAGAACGGTGAAAACGTAATTTGGCTAGAGTAAGCCAGAATGTTTTTTTAGGATAGCTTAGAGTTGCAGAATGTCTAACTCACTCCCTCCAATCAACGATAATTTTTTAGGTCTATAACTCCAATTTAACGTTGCTACTCCTATTTCTACCAATACCGTCGATAGTTGGCACTTCGATGTATTCATTACGGGATATTACAGTCATGTTGAAAATGAACACCGCAACTTCCAATCAGATCATCCAAACGATATTAGACCTTGGTAGGTTATAACTCGTTTTGTTAGAATGTGGACTTATAGAGTCAGTTGTGTATTGTAATAAGGTAAAATTTCAATCGATGAGTAAGTTTCTGCACATTTTTTCGTTATCTTTTTCATATTTGAAAAATATATTGAGCTTTTCGAACATTAAGAGAAGACATTAGCGCAAATTTATAAGACGAATTTTTTGACAACTTGATTTTCTTTTCATTGTTTAGCAAGCTAGAAAGACATACCTAGATCATGAGTTTAAGTTTCGCGATGACATTTGTGGTGTTTGCATAGTGCAGAGACGTACCTTAACATTTAAAAAATTTGCAAAGGTTATTTGATTTTTTGAAGATAGATACTCAACTTGAGAAGGTAAAGGATATTTTCGTAAATGAGCCTTGGCGCAATGCTTCCAAATAAAATTATTTCGACACACCCCTTTCCTCTATCCTTTCTCCCGCAAAAATTACTTAAGAGTTTAACAGACGGTATAAATTGAATCCGTTCATCTTGTAATATTCTATACGTTCTCTGATCATGAAACCTGGACAGTTCGAATTCATGAGATATGCTGTAAGCCACGTAGGTGTTGAGTTCTTTATTTCGGTCTAACGTTTCGGCAAAAATGCCGAAAAATTTTAAGTATATTATCTAACATGCAAAACCAGCCCATCCGATGGCCGTAAAACGTGCTGCGGAACATGTATAAAACGGCAAGGGAAGTCTGCAGTGGGGAGAGCGAAGACAAGAATCTCTCGAACTGGCAGGCGAGATAGCAGCTTCCAGTGGCTACATTTCATCAAGGTCTAAACATTTCAAAAACACCGCAAATAATGATGATAGCCAATCTCGTACCAGATTTCTATAATGTCTACCGTTAATTTCCGATAAGGTAAAGACGCTTTTCAGACTTGCATAATACAAGCCCAGTTGGAGCAAGTTGTTGTTCTTCTAGCATCCCCCGAAGCAACATTAAGTGACAACTAGTGCACAATATTCATACGATACAGCCTGAATTACGAGGGATTGCGTCATTCGTCCTTACGGAAGGATGGGAGACTGTACCAAGTTTGGCATTGTCTACGAAATTGAATGCATAGATCGCCACGCAACCTACATAGTGGAAACTGGTCGTCAACTCAGCGTGCAAATTGATAAACACTTGTCTAGTAAAAGATGGGAAAGCATGTCAAGTCCGCTAGGGAAACATAGCTGGAAGATAGATCATCACGGCAATGACTTCAGTAATGTGCATCATCCTAGGTCACGAGTCGAAAATTGCTGCATGCAAAGCGCTTGAAGCGGCATACATTCTTTCGCGCGAATCTAAGCTAAACGGAAAGAATGAGCTGCTCTACATCACAAGTGACTTGATGCCATTTCTGTCATATTGTCACTTATAGTTAACATATCCACTACTACTTGAGTTATCCGTATCGATCAGTTTTAGTCTATTACCACCAGTGGATCTCAAACATCTGTTGTCGTCTGATTGGTGAACACCTTGGTACGCTACTTAAAGCGTAATTTAATCAACGTGTTTGCTCCTACGTCATCGAACTGAGCTAGTTGAGAACAGAGATTTGACAGTACAGCGTTAAAAACAAATGTGAGACTTTCTTTCAGGTCTCCGAGGAAGGCATTTTTGCCGAAACGTTGGACCGAAATAAAGAACTTGACAAACTTGCATGGCTTACCGCATATCTCATAAATCCGTTCAATTCTTTTTAATCTTCATTCTTTTCCCCTTCGAAAATATCAGAACACTTCTTATTCTAGGAATGTCCGGAGGTGTTCTAAATCTACCAAATTTGATAGTTGATAGGCTAGCTGCCACCTTTTATCCAGCTCAATATGAGACCAAAGGTGGAGAGATACCATGGATAGCTGTAGGAATGATTACAAGTCAGGTGAGTAATTTTCTGAATTTTATGAGGGCAGGTGGTGACAATAAACCTTTTTAGGTCCTCTTGACGGGTGGATTTGTAGCAATGGTAAAGATTGGTATCATCAGTGAATTAGTAAGCACCATGACTTTCATAGCATTGTGCATAATTTCTGCTGTTGTAAGTAATTTCAACCGTTTCATTTACTAAAATTGTAAAAGTTTGGTTACAGTTATTCACTATTTTGCCACACTTCTCAAGAAAGTATCATGATTATTATCGGAAACGGCAGTCATCCGTCTCCGTGAGTTTTATTTGCAGACTTTAAAGCTGGACAAAGGGTTAATGTTATCACAAAATATACAGTGCTGGCCAAAACAGAACTGCCGTAGCTCATTTGCTTCTCAACAAACTGATCTGAAATTTGGTATAGCTGTGTGTTTAATAGGCTACCATCAGTAACTAGAACGGATCCCGTTTTTGTTTGATTATTCAGGAAAAAATCAAAAATTTCGAAAAAAGCAGGCTTGAAGGTTGGCCAAAACTGCAGGGTGTCCCAAAAAAATGTATCGAACGTTTGATCGTTAATATCTCTCTTGTAAAGAAGTCTTTTTTCTTGCTTCAGGTACCAATCTGTAGAGCTGGCATCAACTTGGATTTGCATTTCAGAACGAATCACTCATTTCTCTTCATTACTGTAGGATTACGGTAGAAACTTCAAAGAGGGTTTTGAGGCCATAAAATGAAAGGAAACAATGAAAGGCCATATTTTGCTTTGAAAGGAAACAAAACAGCCTGAACGCTTTTACACGAGCCTAATTGGAGTTGCTGATTATAATTGTAAAGTTCCCAACTTATTATGATGCTTCATTGAAGAGTTATGCCGGGTAAGAGGTAGCGGCCATTTTTTCGATGTTCCTGAAATGTGCGGTTACACCGTTTAGAAAGCTTCGCAATCTTGTGAATAGTTAAGTATTGAACTCAGTGTCCATGAAAACCCTATTACACAAGTTTTTACAATTTTTTTGAAAATTTTTGGAACGTCAGCTTTTTCCACATTGACATCATATGTTTCAAGTTCCTACCGTAATCCTACAGTAATGAAGAGAGATGGATGATTCGTTCTATAATGCAAATTCAAGTTGAAGCCAGCTCTACAAAACGGTACTTGAAGCAAGGCAAAAGACTTCTTAGGAAGAGAGATATTAACGATCAAACGTTCGATACATTTTTTGGGACACCCTGTATAATTCCACCTAAGGTTTCTGTCCACTAAAGTAATTCTCGGCTTCCAAAGTTTTTTGCGCATATACATAATTAAAAGTCAAAACAGTCGCTTTAGTCCAGCTGTGTCATACCTTTATAAGAAACATTTATCTGCTTTTTTTCGCTCAAAAATACTTTCATGCGTTATTTTGTTCTCGAAAATGTGTTTTTATGGGTGGGTGATTCCGCAGTTTTTTGACTGGCTTGCAAGCGATAGGGCTCGGTCTATCTTATGGATGCTTAGCAAAGTGAAAACTAGAAAAAAACTTGAGTTCTCATACCTAAAGCGCACCCGACATAGACCTAACCGCAGGCCTGCGCTCAAACTTATGCGCTCAAACTCTTTTTTGCAATGTTTTCATAAGCGTGAAGTAAACCAATAACATTGTTGTACGTATGAGAGTCCGGATGCAGTGGTTGCAGATTTCCGCAGGTCCTAGCATGCAGGCTAATTGAGGAATTCATCTTGCAAAAAGTGATTTGCAAAAAGCCTTGAACTTACTCTTGGTTCTGATCGTAATGCTCATGTGAGTCACAAGGCATCATGCAATGCAGGGTGTTTACACTATCTAGAAGCTAAATTGTGGCAAAAATCAGGAAAGGTACCGCTTGGTAAGTATTTTGGGATTGTCTAAATATTATCGTTGAACCGGAAGATTTATGCTTTGAAAATGAAGCAAAATGTGACTTGGCCAACAATCGCAACTATAGTGTACAAACTTCTTTTAATGTAAACGATGCTTTACATCATTTTCAGCTTACAAAAATAACATAAATCAATTTTGAAGGCAAAAATTTGAACGCAGGCTTGCTGTTAGGTGTATGTCGGGTGCGCTTTAAATATGAAAACTCAAATTTTTTTCTAGTTCTCACTTTGTCAAGCATCCATAAGATAGACTGAGCCCTATCGCTTGCAAACCAGTCAAAAAACTGCGGAATCACTCACCCATAAAAACACACTTTCGAGAACAAAATACGCATGAAAGTATTTTTAAGCGAAAAAAAGCAGATAAATATTTCTTATAAAGGTATGACACAGCTGGACTAAAGCGACTGTTTTGACTTTCAATTATGTATATGCGCAAAAAACTTTGGAAGTCGAGAATTACTTTAGTGGACAGAAACTTTAGGTGGAATTATACTTTTGGCCAACCTTCAAGCCTGCTTTTTTCGAAATTTTTGATTTTTTCCTGAATAATCAAACAAAAACGGATCCGTTCTAGTTACTGATGGTAGCCTGTTAAACACACAGCTGTACCAAATTTCAGATCAGTTTGTTGAGAAGCAAATGAGCTACGGCAGTTCTCAGGGTGGAATTATAGTTTTGGCCAGCACTGTATAATCTCACTGTCGTCCACAAAATTTTATGGCTCAAGATAAGCAAACCTTTTTTCACTCATGTCTGATTCGTCTACGAACAACATCCAAAAGGATTAAATTCGTCTTGTTCGAAGAGTATAATTGTATACAACAACCAGCCAGCGTGGATATTTGGAGAAAAACTCTGAATTTCCCGAAAAAATGTTGAGAACTTTTTGGAGGAAGTTGATTTTGGGAACAGTGAAAGTAATGTTCGTAATTGCTCTTTCCGCTTTGACAAAAACTCGAAAACTCTGTAGATTTGAGAAGCGACCAGCAAAACCTCAAAGGTGAGAAGAAGGGGGGGGGAGGGAGTATCTTACAGGCTTACTACAAAATGTGGAATGGATAACGTCCGGAACTTTTGTGTGAAAGATTTCCAAAACAGTGGTTAATTCTGACCCTCTCCCCTCTCCCCCCCCCCCTTCCCACAGAATGGTCTACCTAATTGCAAAACTGAAAATCTACTTTCATTTCTCCGAAAACAACAATTTTTAAGGTCCGCTATCAATCTGTTGAAAATCTTCGAGCAGCAAAGTTATTAAAAGTGCTAGTCGTGGTTTACGTATTCTTTTATCTGTCCGAGACTGGAATTTTCTCTTTATTCTACTTTATCATTGCTGATGAGGACAAAATCTGCAGCATTACTCTGCAGACATTTTTCAACCTGGTCGTCATTATTGAGGTAAATCTGAGAACATTCTGCTAAACTGCCCTTAGGTTGCGTGCAGAGTTGCCAGTGTGCCAGCGTCGTGTAAGAGCTGCCAGAACCCGTGGATGCATGCATACTGATCGATCGATCTCGCCGGCACAGTTCTGACACGGCGCTGCAACTGTGTCGGCACAAGCACCTCTTAATAGCCTTAAAAGTATAATTTTACAGATTCTCACTTCAATCAACGTAATCGCACGATCGCATCCTTCACTGCGACGAGCTCTGCCTGCTTTTTGTCGCAGACAAGAAGTCCGCGCCACCTATGTCACCACCTGTGATGTGCGCTCCTATGACGGGAAAGCGCTCTCGTTCAGTGTCAATTGCCAAAGAGAAATGTACTTCGATCAACTGCAAGACTCTTGGGGAGAGAAGAAGTAGAATATGCAAGACCTCGAGTACACTTGGATTTCTTCAATCAAATATGGGTATCAACCGGAAGCTCCAAACTTTACAGGTCAAATCAAAACGCCAGACTTCGTGTGTGTATGTATGTATATATCTGTTGAACATAAATGCTGCAAATTTTCTAGGATTACCTTTGATCCCATCACATGCTCCTTTTACTTAGAGTTGCAAGTGGTCCTTAAAGAGCAACTCATAAAGGAGAAAGCTTCCTCCTAGATTCAGCAGGCGCAGTGACATAAAACGAATGCCATCAATGCTGAATCTCTGCATAAAGAGCGCTTTCACAAGTTTCCAATCACGTTATTACAACAAAAAGTTTCATAGATGCTTGCCCAATGTCAAAATATTGGCATACGAAGACCGACTTCTCTGCAAAGTGAAAATCGTAATCGGTATGGGGGAGGTTTAGAATGAGCAGCAAAAGGTGTTAGTTTGTTCAGAACGCACCAATCTCGGCTTCCAGTACGGCACACAATTGTAGCATTTTGTAAAAAGGGTGATACAATCAGTCACATCAGATTAAAGTGAACTAAAAGTAAAACTAACTAAGAAATTTTTGCCGCAAAAATTAGGCTCACGGTGAAATCGAACTCGCTACCTTCAGCACAATAGGAGTGCTCCACGTTATTGATCTGAAGGCCATACCAAGCCTAATTTCTGTGGAAAAATTCGCTCACAGTTCCAACTTCAGGCTGCCCTTCCAATGAAGGGCATGCGACAAGCCGGCTGAGAAACACCCCGTCGCATCAGCAGTGCAGACATGTCTCATAAAACTACTCAAGTAAAGGACAGGGAGTCTTCAGAAGCAACGCCCTAGCCTTTACTCGTGTAAGCGAATTTTTCCACATTCGCGCCCGACGATTGCGAATAGTGGGCTAGGTTTGCTGTTTCAGCAAGTCAAGGGGGACGGCTAAAGCGGCTAGTTCATCAGAGCCAACGATCCAAAGCATCGCAGACTCTCTGTCTAGCTAACATCGATGTGGGCACACTCACCTTTCTTTTTCGAGAAGTGGCAGATGTCTGAAGAGACGGCGAGTCGATGTAGTCTGCATACAGGAAACGAAATGGAGCGGGCAAAGCCGCGAGACATTAGAGATGGATATAAGCCAACAACAACAGAGATTGAGATGGTATAGCTGCCTCGGAAACAATAAGGAGTGACATGGTCGTTAAACGCATAAGCGATCGTCTGTTGAGCATCAAGATGGATACTGGGAAACAAATTCTACGAGTCATCAACGCCTACGCACCAAGGTCGCATGTAAGAATGATTAAAAGGACGCGCTCTGGCAGGAGGTCGATGACCACATCTCGATCCCACTAAATGGGACACTCCTGCTAGGAGCGGACCATAAAAATGTGGGGGGGGGGGGGGAGACAAGAAGGAGCTGGCAGTTGTTAACCATTGAACCAGTGAAAACCACGGATATGGAACATGCAATGAGAAAAGTGAGCACATCCTAAAATTCGCATTCATTCTGGATTTCGCCTCAGCTCATGATCTGGTCTTGACGAACACATGCTACATCAAGAAGAATCCTCATTAGATATGCAACTGGTGACCGACGAAGCCATACTTCTGGGCTCACCGATAATGTGAGCTCAAACATGTAGAGGACTGGAAAGCATTTCCGGTGAAATCTGCATACCTCAACATAAATCACTGCTTCTTGACCTCAGAATAATCTCGATTGAAGGGCACATCAAAAGATCTACAGAGACCAGGACACGCGTCAAATGGTGGAAGTTACAAACCTACGACGCGGCAAAGCAAGCAATACTAACAGCTCTCCCAGGTGTGCAAAAGAACCCAGAGCAATTCTGAGTAAACTTGAAAGGGCGGGTCCATCAAATGGCAAGCACCTAGGTAGTGCGAGGCTTCCTGACTATCAGGCCTCCAATCAGATCATAAGGAGCAAGAGTCCGCCAGTGAATTACCAGCACAACGATTCCGATATGAAAGGACGAAGGGGAGTCGCAGACTGCGCATCCTACCGGCCAATCCGACTGAAGAGCCACACTCTAAAGATCTTCAAGCGTAATCAAAACGCGGCTTCGAAATATCATAGAGCTGTCACCAAATCAGTGTGGAATTGTGAAAGGAGTAGGTATAACCGACGCCATCCACTCCGCTCGGATAATGATGGAGAAATATATGGAGAAGCAAAAGGAGTTACACGCAGCCTTCCTGAACTTGGAAAAAGCCTTCGATAAAGTTGCACCTGAAGTCATATGGTGGGCGGGCCTTACGGAAGCGGAAGCTTTAGAAGAGTACGTCCAGCGGATAAAGTGATCTACCACAACGCTTTGAATCTCGTGCAAGCAGCTGCAGGGCAATCAAAAGAGTTCCAAATTAACGTCGGAGTATACGAAGGGTCAGTTCCTTTCCCTTGTTCTTCATCACTGTGATGAACGTCGTGATGGAACCGCTCAGACATAAATTTCCTTGGACACCTCCCTGCACAGATGATGTGGTCTCGCTAGCGAACACCAGGATGGAGTTGCAAGACGAGGTACAGAAGTGGAAAGACAGGCTAGAGTTGCATGGGTTGAAGCTCAACATCAAGAAGAGAGTATATGGAAGTGAAAAAACAAACTCCGGGAACCACGTGTATCGACGGTGAAGCTAAAGAAGGTAACGTCTTTGAGTACTTAGGCAGTACATCTCAGCAGAGGAAGCCTTGCAAGAGGAAGTCGCTGGCAGGTAAACACAGGGTGGATGAAATGGAGATCCCTGACAGGAGTTCTGTGCGACAAAAGAATGTCAGTACACCTCAAGTCCCAATTGTACCGGCGTCCAGCAGCACCGTATGGTAGTGAGTGCTGGTCATGTACGCGAAACGAGAAGCGCAAGCTCAGTATCATTGAAACAAGGTTGCTATGGGACCTTAAGTGTCTCACTGAAAGACCACATCTGCAATGATACTATACAAGCCCGGATGAAAGTAGCTTCAATTGCCCAGAATATGCAGGAAAAGAAATTACGACGGTAAGGGCGTGTGCACAGAAGGGAGAAAAGCGACCTTACGAGGCTAGCTTCAAAGGTGGAAACGCCACGCAAAAATCCAGAGGTGCCCCCCGGTTGAGGTGGATGGATAGGATCAAGGTTGATCTGCGAAAGCTTGGACTGGATGAAGACCTTGTTTCAGATAGAAGAACATACAGACAACTGACAAGAAAAGCAGATCCTGCATAAGCGGGGCACATGCGTGGATAAAAAATTAAAAGAGCTAAACATTGCTGGCGAATTAGTGAGGACTTCCTTTGATAGAAAATTTCTTTACATACCTTTAGTCCTCGAAAATACTATACTATCAAATATGCAAAGATGGTATACAGGAAAGAAAGACCTTGAGAGATCAAACAAAAAGTAGATGACGAGATTGAGACACGAACATTATATGACAACATAAAGGCCGCAGTGGCGTACACAGAATTTCGGCTCGGGGGGGGGCAGACGAAAAAATTTTTCCGATGAAGGTGCGTGGCGTCAGCCACGCACTCCGAAAAATTTTTTAGTATCTCCCTATTTTTTTATAAGGCTAAAATAGATTTTTAGAAAATTTTAATAATTATCTTAATTATTTACAAGTGCAGACAAGTTATTTGCACAATATAACCCATGTAAGTAACTTTCAAAAATTTCGCGACCCGTTCTATGACTTGTAGACTCAACATTCGGCTCTATTCCATCATCAGGATCCCAAAACTCTAAGGCCCCGGACAAACTTCACGCGATATGATCGTCGCGACTGAATCGCGACGAGACAACTGTTACAACATCATTCCATGCCGATCAACTTGCATTTCGGTTGTGATACTTTTCCAGCCCGAAATTTTTGAATTTGAAATGAAAATGAATGGACATGTCGGCGATTATGTCCCGACGATCAAATCGCTTGAAGTCTGTCCGGGGTCTAAGGAATTCGCTCAAACTTCCAGTGAGGCTTCTCTGACATGCTAGTCATAAATATCATATTTATGCATAAAAATTTTTCATGTGTGATTACGGTAGTCACGCGGTAGAGATTCAAAACGACAAAAGTCCCCAAAGACGTATCTGACATTGTCCACGATTGTACATCTTGTGCGCTTTGACCGCATACCGTAAATGCACGATAGCCCTAGTCGTGCTGGTCAAGACCCAACTTGTGATTATCATACCTAGTAGGGGGGGGGGAACCAACATGAACGATAGCTTGTGCCAGCCTCAGGCCTATGTCAATTCTTTTTCAGGTTTGCGTTTATATGGTGATTTAGAAAATTGAGAAAAACGCGGGGAGCTCGGTATAACTCAACTTGTACAGTTCAGCATCATTTTCAATCAAGTGAAGAACATATTTCTTCGAAAAATAAGACTTTATGCGTTGCATATTGACAACCGCAGGAGTACCGTATGCTTAGTTCCGCTGTCTTCATATACCCCTACCTAATAAGCTTCCTGACGATTCCGCACCAAATCCATGATTTTGACCCCTTGCCCATACCCACCCAACTCTACAAAAAGGGACCACCATGCAAAAGGAGACAATATCTGGTCAGCATGTCAGAGATCCTGCACACCAAGTCCGAGCGAAATGCATCTGGTTGTGGGAAGTACGGAACAACGCACATTTTTCTTGAGCCATTAGGGGATATCCGGTATCTGGACGGCATTACAAATGCCGGATTTCGACTAGAGCGCGATATCTATCATTCCTGCTACAGCAGCGCAAATGTCTCTATAGACGTGATATTTCTCCTCATTTAAAAGCTCCCGTCTTTACTCCTACTTATGGCATTGTCTAATGTATCTGCCGCCACTCCTTCCGTCCCCCCTTCATTTAGGCTGCCGCTTGCTATTTCAGCATAGGAGAGTCCTTGTGGGAGATGGGACACAAATTATCTCTCAATGTATGCGGCAAAGCAGCCGCCGCGCGCAGCAGTTTAACCCCTGACCTGTGGCTCTCAATAATGGATTTGTTTTTCATGGCACCTCCTTATATGTGTAGATCGCTACTGATCACTCAAAATTTGTCGACTACTGGCCTTAGAAAATATGAAAAGAAAACATATGACAGTAAACATGGTCCTTTTCGGCAAATGTGACATACGGCCTCTGTCAACATCTTGGGGCACCGAACTGCAATGAAACATCTCAAGCATATGATCAAACCATCAAAGATACATAAACGAAGCGAAAATCTCCAGCACAAAATGTAACAGCGAACAGACCTTAAGTCGTGGATTTGTTCAAACTCGATTCAAGAGGGTCAATCGACCCGCTGATGCCGATTATCAAAATAGTTTTGCGCGGTAACGTCATTTTCCGATGTTACGGTGCATATATGGTAGGGGGCCAAAATCACGAATTTCGCTTAAACTTGGCCTAGAGAGGTTATTTGACCTGCTGATGCCGAATATCATATTTATTTCGTATGGTAGCGTCATTTTGTGGGGCTACGGTGGGTATGCGGTAGGGAGTCAAAATCATGATTTCGCTGAAACTTGACACAGGGCTATTCGACATGCTAATCACGAAAATCGTACTCTTTCGCATGATGAGGCCTTTTGATGAAGTTACTGTAGGTTTACGGTAGGGGTCAAGAACAACAAAGTTTCCTGAAAGTTTGGTGTTGGGCGTAGACCGACTCGCCCTACCAACATGCGTTTCATAGAGGACCATCGTCACGCGCGACGGAGGGGACGCAGGAGTTCCTAGCACCTCCATTCGCACCAGCATTCGCACTCCAAAAGGCTCCTCGCACCTTCGCGCGGAGGTCAAGCCCCGCCCATCGCTCTACTCCTTTATTGGTCTCAAGAGACTGCGGGGTACCGGATTAGCATAGAAGTGCAAATGCATTCGTGAAAAATCATGCAAGCTGAATTCCCTTAATTCCCTTATCATTGCATTTTATAAGTAAAAACAATTTGATTTACCGGAGAAGGCCTTACAGTACTCAAAGTAAGCACTGAGTGATATCTTTGGTAAGCAGGTGATTTTTTCTGCAAAAGAAGAAGATTCTTCACAGTTTTGTTTCTACATTACCATAGGTCAAAGCTTGCCACGTACGGACCATTGCTATGAACGTCCCAGAAATTTTTTGAAAATGTTTTGGCGTTTCATACTATTCAGTACCAAATTCAAAATTATGGACTTTGAAGTGCAATATTTGGAAGCCTGTTTCTCTGAGGATAGCCAACGAAAAGTTGATTTTAACTATCTTGAAGCGCAAAACTCACATCTTTTCGAACAAACCAATAATCTAGATTTGGATTTTAGTGAGTTATCGGATTTCCTCTGATTTGCGCGAAAACTATTGCATCGATCCAGTAAGTATAGCAAATAGACATTTAGTCATTTTTTTAGTTTTATAGAGATCCTGTGATTCTGTATTTTTGCATCAAATTTGAGGTATACGAAGTTGTAACCAAACACCAGAAAAGCCCAACTGCTCGAAAGATCGAAAAAAGTCGAAAGTCCGTCAGACATTTGGGACATCTGCAACTTGCTCAATAGACATACTTCAACCAAACGTATATGTACTTATCTCGGCTGAATGTGGGCATCGCTTTGTCGAAAAACGGAATTTTCTTACAAAGCATCATGATCAAAAGATCTCTCAGTAATAAGTTTGTTCCTATATTGTAAAGGCAACATGTTCCGAATGGTAGATCTCATAAACTCTCGTCTGTCACTTTCCATCCTTCATTATTCATCCAGAACACTTTAGAAGTGTCCTCCAAACCTGCACAACTCGTAATGAGATTAGCCAGTGGGCGGGGCAAATGGGCGGAGCCGTCTGAGAAGTGCGAGGACGCCTTGGGGGGTGCTAACTACCCCTGCAAGGAAAGGCGGTGAGGCTTTGGGAACTCCTGGGCCGCCGCCACGCGCGACACACTCAGCGGCGGCTTTGCCTAAGCAAACACAGGGGAAGAAGATTTGCCGAGTACCGCACGCCCTACCGTATACCCACCATATCCACACAGGAAAACGTCTTCGTGAGGTAAAACGAGATATCCGTGATCAGCATGTCAAATTACCCCCTTGCGCAAAGTTTCAGGCAAATCCACGATTTTGACCCCCTACTGTATACCCACCGTAACCGCAGGAAATGACGCTACCGTCCAGTACGATATCTGTGATCAGCGAGCTAAATAACCCTCCCCCCCCCCCCCCCCCCCTCCTGGGCCAAGTTTTAGCAAACTCCATGACGAAAAATTTTTGGTGCCTGGATAGCCGAATACTGCCGTTTGACTCCCCTACCGTATACTTAGCCCCACCAAATGACATTTTTGTGCAAATAGAGTGTGATATTCATGGCCAGCATGTGGAGTAACTCCCACAGACCGAGTTGTAGTGAAATTCACGGCTTTGAAATTTTCAGGCCCGGATACTGGAGATGGCGAAGAAATGAGGTAAGATCCACAAAAAAGCTTTCAATGACAGCCACTGGTACTAATAAGGATAAAGAGAACTGGAATAGACTAGAAACAAGACTGTGACGATTATGTCGGTCAAAATAACAAAGGGGAAATACAGCTCCGTTGGGGTATTGGCGCTGCCGTAGCAGGAGTGGTAGATATCGCGCTCTAATCGAAACCCGGCATTTGTAGTGCCGTCCAGATAAAGGATATCCCATTAGGGAAGTGAGAGATAGAAGACTATTGAACAACCTCACCTATTACTCGCTTAAACAATAGGAAAAATACCGAGGAACATGGGTACAGAACCCTGGAACCAGATTATAAAGCAAAGATACTGAAGACGACCATTTGGACGCTGCTGGCTGCTGAAAATGCGTTCATCCATCGATTTTCTTGACTGGCAAGATCAAAACGACGTGACGTCATTGATCGTTTCCATTGAAAATGAGAAAGCTCAAGACATGCATAATATCATTTATTTATTCCAATGTGATATATTTAACATACAGCAACACGATCATTCCAGGGTTATTACAGGTAGAAAATGACAACACAACAAACTTTCTTGCAGAACTTTGCATAATGCATCGTGGATGAGAAATTTGAACATGAAAATGTGGATCGAAAATATATAGTGAGTAATATATCGCTGAATAAGAAGCGTAAACATAAAAGTATGGATCAAAAAAATCAATGATTAAGAAACATAAAATGTGAGCAAAAATATATTAATAAGTAAAAAACAAACAAAAATGTGGATCAGAAATATATCATAAGATTTTGGGAATGTAATCAATAGTCTACACTCCATACTTCGCTGTTCCATTTGGTTCTGACGATTTCTCTATGATATCGGCGAATCATTTCTTCGGCAAGTTGAACGTATTCAGTACGAGCGGCTTCTTTGGTTTGTCCTGAAAAACGAAACACTAAACTACTGGATATTACGCATTGTTATGAAAATTTAGGACTTTTTAGATATCTACTGCATCAATCATTTTTTGCAGAGAAAGTGCTCCAAATAGATCTGAGTTTTTTGGCAGAAACACGAAAAGAAAGAAAAAGGGTCGGTAAAAAGACTGCTCATTCAGGACTTATGATCTTCCAAACCACAACTTTGGAGGAAACTGCCGAACATCGAAATGCTAGGTTCTACGCCTCTGCTCGGCCCTGCTTGAAGCCTGACCAATCAGAGCACACGGGCTGACCAGTCACAGATGCGCCGCTACGGCAAGCAGCGCATGGCCGCCGTCCCTCAGATTAGCATGATTCATATTCGTTCCCTCTATACTCTGAATCAATTCCTTATCATTTCTCAACTCTTACGAACCATATTTACCGCCAAACTATTTCTCCTTCATCCTCCACGATATTCTATCAGATAACAAAAATTATAGTTCATACCTTTTCTTTCAGCCCATGCGTTGTATTTGGCTATAGCAGTTTTGTCTTCAGTTGGTTTTTCTAAAACTCCACTTCAATAAATTATACGGTACAGAGGAAAACAGTTTACCGTAATCCTCTTCGGGTGGAATATCACCATGTACGGCTTGTTTATACAATCCATACAGTTTAAGTTTTTCTTCGTCTGTTGGTTCTTTCTTGAGTCGGCGCATTTCCTCAGCGGCTATGTCGAAGTTCATCCCGGTCCATTTCTAAATAAAATTCACTGGAATTCAAGATGATATAGCACCCTCGGCCATGCCGATAGAATTTGCGCAAAAAATGGCGATAGAGCGCAGATCTTCCTTATAGTCTTTTTTACGCTCAAGTGCTGTCACGACCGCAACACACTGTAATGACAGTCAAATCGGCAGATAAATGCGAAACTTACGACTTCGAGCTCGCTGAGGGGCATTCCGATGAGTGGACTACATGCGGAATGCGCAGTCTACAGTTCCAACTACACTCTCCTTCATGCCGAACTATAATATTAGGCAATTTGTCCGAATGAGGGTTAATTACGTTTTGAAGACTAATAAGCTGTAATTGGGCGTAAACATGGTCTTAATACTATACAGAGGAATAGAAAATTAGCCAAAGATTTCGCTTATGCAAACACTTCCAAAGTATAGGGCAACACAGGGAATCTACGCAATTTGTTTTTTTTTTTACATCTATATTTCCTTGCAGTTACTCAAGAGTATTCAAAGTTGTATTAGTGCTGCAAAAAAGAGTCGCTTCTCTAATGAGTTAAAAAAAAGAACCCGAAACAGTCTATGAGGGGTACCATTCGATAGGGCGAAGCGAACGCTAAAAGATAATCTCTAAACATTAGGACGAATCGTGCTTTACTCAAAGCTTGAAACCAAAATCCCTGAACAAACTATGGTGGTAAAACTCGGATCTTCCATACCTACATATCTTTGGATCCAGAAAATTCTAGAGATCTCTAACCTTGCCATGCTCTCATCCATATGGAACATAACTAACCCAAACTCCTCGCTTTCTTTGATTTGAGTACTGTGTATCGTTGATGAGTGAAGTTTGGTCACATTATTATTAATTTCGTTTCACTAAACCATCTCAAGGCCTTCGAGGAATATTGATGGAAGAATTCCGCCCAACAATAAAAAACGAGGTAGAATGTTTGGCAAAATCCATTCGATATAATTCGCTGAACTTGGCAATAAAAATGACATCCTTACTGCAGTGGCGTACCCAGGATATTCGTGGAGGTGCTTGGCGTTAGCCACGCACTCCGAAGAATTTTTGGTGTACTTCCTAAGACTTTTGCAGGCCCATAGCCCCGAAAAAATTATTTTTACAACCTAAAGTGAATTTCAAGAATTTTTTGAAATCATTTTAATTAATTACAAGTGTAAACAAGTCACTTGCACAATTTTATGACTCATGTAAATAACTTTCAAAAATTTCGTGACCCATTCTCGGGGGACGGGGCGGAGGAGCCCTCGGTACCCACTGCCTTAATATGTCTCACTGTAAACAAGCTTTGATCATTCTGAGTTGATAAAGCGTAACAAACTGTGGTATCACGGTACTTATACCGTCAATAACGTGATCGTATCAAAAGCATTGAGAAAACCTGACATTGTAAAAAATGTTGCGACTTTGCACGATCTCTGAGCAACATCAAGAAGGCCTGTGGCAGATTTTTTGACTCCGAGAGTTGGTAAGCGTTTTGTTGAATCCACGGAGTAAGGATTTCGTAGCTGTTTTTTTACTTCAATGACTGCGGTTACTGTATTTTCATCAGTATATGTGTCTTATGTCATCTTGACTCTACCTTTACCAACTAATCGATAACCTGTGCACATCTCTACGAGAAAAAAATTTTTTCTCTACAAAACAATGCTTCCATCGAATTTCCAAGCACTCCAAACGTAATAATGTAAATTTGCAAACTCCTCTACACTCTTCCACTCAATATCTTTGTGTAAACGCTCCTGGAATGATATCGAATGTAGTGACCAAGTGACATCACCCTCAAATGCCGTGGGACAAATCCAATAGACAATTTATTGTAATATTGACATACAAACATTACAAATATAAGAAAAATAAATAGCCACGCTAGAAAAAATGAGACGTTGTGCGCGTTGAACTTTTGTATAAGCACAAACGTTGAAAGTTTCAGTAAGAGAGGGGGAGGGATGGGGCTGGGAGGCGGGGCATGCTCAATCTAGATTGTTTCGACCAATTTTGATTCACCTAACAAGCACGAGCGCGTGGCAAAACACTGATTAACAACCAGATAAACATATCTACAAAGAGAAGCGCAGAGAAAATGATAAATTAGCGAACTGCTTGGGATATTGTCGGAAGCAAAGCTAAATCAGAAGAACCTACAACACGCACAATTTTAGGTCGAGAAAAGGGGCGGTGGTGTACGGTGTGGGCGGGTTTGGGAACTGAAATTTTGTGGAATTTATGCCACTTACTACGCTTCTGAAAAACAAGTGCATAACTAGCTGAGGTTATATCAAATGATATGGGATACCACGACAACTCTATGGGATAGCAAAAACGCATGGCAGGAACTGCTCTTGTGGGATGATGATGAGATGTGCGGACAACTGATACTAATATGGCTCATCTATTCTGGAGAAACATACTCTGTGTCACTATTCGAACACTACAGTTAGTAGAGAAGAATGACAATAATTCAGTAAATGAGAGAAATGGAGAACACCTTTGGCCAGTAATTTGAGAGGAGAAAAGCAGAGGAAAAATCTTCTCGGACCTAATGCTGTTCTGCTGCTGATCACTGCTATATACAAAGAGGATACGGTAAGTCTTAACAGCACTTACAGAGAGATGATTTGGTCGCAACAGGTCGCGACCATGTCACGATCACAATTAGAAGAGAACGCACACAAAACAAACACAAAACAACAGACGAGAGGAGAGTGAGAGTACGTAATTCTACACAACAAAGCACCATACATAATAAGTAAGCACGACGCATGTGAGTAATCTCAATTTCACTCTGATAGCAAAACAGTAAGAAAAACGGATCAATCAATCAATAGCAATTAGCAATATCAATCAATCAACCAATATGAGGATTTTTGGGGAATACTCGTTTCACGTGGAGAGGGACACATATTAGCCCTATTGCACGACGCCTTGACGGGTAGAGAAGAGGGTATGAGTGTGGGGGCGGAGCGGGAGATTTAGAACGGGTTCGAATCACCGCCACCCGCAACTTGGTGAGGGACCAGCTCGAATGAGACCCGCGTCGGTTGTGAGACCAAAGTTCGGACGGGAAGATGGGCAATCATTTCCGAGAGGAATGCTCCAGAGGCGTCTTCTCTGCACCGCAACACAAACGATTGCATTACGTGCTTTTCCTCGCAGGAACCGCTGTCTGGTTTGCCAAATCCTTCGGGGAGCGATTCACCCGATGGCGACATTGATCCACTCTAAGATACATTTGAATGAATTTGCAGGCTGCAACCGTTTTGTAACCAAGAAATTTTTGAAGCGAAAAAAATTCGAGTTTTTGTAACTAAGAAATTTTTGAAGCGAAAAAAACTCGAGTTATGACTAGAAGTCATTACCGTCCACAGGCTAGTCCCGGACGAAGGCATGTCCATAATGAGAAAAGCGCACGCGAATGCGGCGCGCAGCAGTAATCGATTTCTATGGTATGCATCACATACGCTCGAGCGATGATTAGTGCTCGACAGCCGCATTCGCGCCCGCTTCGCGACGATATACCACCTGCCTTCATGCGGAACCACCCTTATTGGCTCCTCTCTCGCCACGCCTTTTTTGTTATTCAGGTCCATGACTATTTTGCTGCCCTATGGATAATCGGCATAAAAAATTATTACTAACCGTATGACTGTTCCTCTCATTTACAGTCTTGTCCGTTTCCACATCATTCTCATCTTTCTTTTCCTTTCTAACTGTCAAATTGAGTCCATTGTGTGCAACAGCGGCATGAGCTTCGAGAGTCGCTTCATCAGGGCATTTCACTTCACAAAGCGAACATTTTACGCTGTCTGGCTCCAACTGCAAAGATACGAAATTTGGTGTAATTTCACTGGGCTACAGTAATCCCCTTACCTGATTGGCCACCATCATTTTCAAGGCTGCCTCGGTTGTGGCACGCAGAGCAGCATCGGTTGACAATTCAGCACTAGCCTCTCTCGTCGCCTCATTCATCCGCTCGTGTCGTTCCACATGCATTTCGAGATTCCGTGGATCACGAGTAGTGTATTGACATCGCATACATCTTAGGATAGATACGTTCGAGTCAGTCGATGCTTCTAGAAACAAAAAATTTAGAAATCGCTTTGCACAACCAGTGAAGAAGAAGCTCACTCTTTGCATCCATTTGTTGTGTTTGCGTTTGCTGAAGTAGCTCTACAGTATGCTGGTTGATCTGATGCAGGTGCAGCTCCATCTGATCTTTGAATGTTGACGGGCAGAATTTGCATTCAAGCGACGGTGATGATGGCGCCTGCGCTACAGACATTCCACCTCCTCCCGTATGCTCATTTTGGATATGTGCAGTGAGATTTACAGCTGGTACACGTCGTTCGCAAAGTGGGCATTTCTCGAGCTTCTCTTCAGCGACAGCTCCGCTTCCTACTCCGGTAGGCATGGTGATGGTAGGTTCTAGAACTAATTTGGCATAAAATTCGGCATGAGAATGTTAGCATAGCTATTGGCGAGTTTGAGACAATTGAACCCAAATCTGGCTGCGTCCGGGGTTACCCGTGCCAGCGCCGTGCTACTGTCGCGTCAGAACCGCGTGGACATGCCAGTATTGATCGACCGTCTACATGGGTTCCGACACGGCGCCAGCATGGCGCTGGAACACTGGCAACTCGATAGACGCTGTCTTAACTCTTGGGCAAGCTCATAACAAAGTGAATTTTTCAAGTCGCTTTTGATTTACTGACAGAATTTTCGTCATTTAAGTTTATACTCCATACCACACACGCACAAGATTGTCTGGTGACAATGACTAACTCCGCCCCACACCCTTTTATTTGCCTTATTCTATTGAAATTTTTCCGGGCGCCACGGTAACACGGATATATGTATCTACCAGTGGCGGACCGAGGGGGGAGCGGGGGGGGCGCGCGCCCCCCCCGAGAATGGGTCGCGAAATTTTTGAAACTTACCTATATGGGTTGTAAAAATGTGCAAACGACTTGTTTGCACTTGAAAATAATTAAAATAATTTTTAAAATTTTTTAAAAATTCATTTTAGCCTTATAAAAAATTTTTTTTCGGGGGCGTGGCTGACGCCACGCCCCCTTTTTCCAGATTTTAGGGGTCGGGGACCCGCAAAAATTTTGAGAAGCACCCCAAAAAATTTTTCGGAGTGCGTGGCTGACGCCACGCACCTTCTTTAGAAAAAAATTTTTGTCGCGCCCCCCCCGAAAAAAATTTCTCGGACCGCCACTGGTATCTACCTATAAGACTTCCCGTTTTCACACTGAAAAAAGTGTTGTATCCTTCTAACGTCAACTGACTTTATTCCCGAACACCCACATCCAAGGAGTGTCTAATGGAAGTGGCTAACTCCACCCCTGCCACGCCCCTTTTCTTGTCTCTTGAAAATTTTCACGCGTCCCATATGACAAGACTATGTAAACGTACTTGAGTGCATAACGGATATAAAAGTAATCTAATATGGTACAACCATTTTTTTTCATCCCCCTTCCATACAATTTTCTCTTCACCCCTCCCTCTCTCCACCCACCAGCCCATTCCAAATTTGTATAAACTTACTTCTACTTTGAGGTGTAGATAACGGTACGACGCCATGCACATCTTGCTTGTGCTGTCTTAGCAAGTGTCGAGATTTGTGCTCAGTATGGCAAATGTCACATCTGAAAAAAGAATATCACATTTTGATTTAAAAGAAATTTATAGCTATAATCAATATACCTGAACGATAGCGTGCCCATTCTTTCCTTTTCCAGTGTGTCAATATTTGCTATCACTGTTTTATTCTCATCAATCACAATACCATGCATTTTAAGCATATGTGTGCGAAGGAAGTATTTGTTGCAAACCTAAAAATTGAGAATTAAAATAGTCGCCATAGACTATAACAAGATTAGTCAATATATTGACTGATCTGGCACGCATACCTCCTTGTTGCACAGATCACAGTAATTCTTGCCATTTGACGAATATTGACGTTTTACGGCTGCTGGTTGTTTTGGCTGCAATTACACCATAATTTCGAGGTATTCGCAAAAGTTATATGGTACTGATTACCGTATTCAATGCGTTTAGCGAGTCCATGTCGGGCATTTGGAATTGTTGAGGAATGCCGCCGGGTAGCATAAATGGTAGGGCTGGGAAACCTTGGGGTAGGAGACCAGAGAGCAGTCTGAAAGATCAACATTTTGAGGAGGGTTATCCAGAGTTTTTTGACCTTCATTCATTTCCAATTTTTTTAATTTCTGTGACTATTGGGCCAAAAACCTTCTTGAAGCCCTACTCTTAATCCATAAAGTTCCGCTTGATCCGCTTTGCTATTGGTCACGTCAGTGAATTGGCCCAATAGCGAAGCGAATGTGCACTTGCACTATATCCGCTTCGCTATTGGTCAAATCAGTGAATTGTCCAATAGCAAAGCGAACGTCCACTCGATGCACTTCACGCGCTTCGCTATTGGTTAGTTCACGCATTTGACCAATAACGAAGTAAATCGGGTGGGTCAAGTAGACCAAATGTGGCGCGTGGCTAAGAAGCTCTAATTATTCTTGCTTTTTCACCCAAAGATATTTCTGAAAAACTTCATAAAAAAACTCACTGCTGTGAAAATCCGCTATGTTGCATCAATTTATGATGTTCTAGAAATTCCGAACTCTTGAACACTTTGTCACATTCACCACATTTGAAAGCTGATGGTGATGAAGCCGGATCCCTAAAAATGTACAAAATTATCCCCTTGTTCCACTATCAAACATTTCCTTTCTAGTTTCTCTTGCTACCAAAGTTCAAACAACGAGAGCATCATCTCATAAAACTGTCACATTCGCCCCTTATCTTTGAAAATTTTCTCTCGAAAGCATCTTATCGCTAAATTCAAATTAACGTTGCATTCGCGTCAGTTTCGCCGTTATCAGTAGCTTGTCAATTGCTGTTTTATTACACTTCTAACAGTGCTAAGTAGCAGAAATTCAATCATCATGTGACCGCAACTATATAAAAAACCAGGAATTGATTCAAAAACTTTCTAATTTCATTGAAATGGTTCTTCAGAGCGTTTTAATGAGAAATTTTTAAGAATAAAAACTGTGAAGTGTATCTATGACAGATAAACACGTACAATGTCAATTTTTTCAAAAAATCAAGATAAGCAGATGGACCAGAAATGTCACATTTTAGGGGAAAAAAGGTAAGCTAATGAAACATAGCGACGAACATAGATCACATTACTACGTGTAGCGTTTAAGCTTCCTAATCTTTTTTTTTTACCATCACCAAGATTTTCTGACCATAATTATTTCGAATCATAAACTCCAAATTACAAAATCTGAAGTGTCCCAATATCTTTGAAGCCTGGAATAAAATCCCGTTCAGAGTTACACTTGGCCTTCTATAGAATTTAAGCAGAGATTTTATCCATATTTCCAGATCCCAGACAATCCTTTCAATTTGAAAAGAACTGCTAACTCCCAACTTATTCAAAACATGGAAGAGATATGCTGATCTGGTCTTTTTTGAAATCGAGCAAAGAATTTGGATCTACAAGCAAGGCTCGACACGAGATGACTTATCGAAAATGCAGAAGACAAAGTCCCTAATCTTCACAGAACATTACGAAGTCCCCTTTGACTCTTATCCAAACTATCCGAATCAACAAAAAAAAAAGAAAAGAAACGTCGACAGAAAAAAAACTAATTTCGGAACCAGAAAAACGATATCCCCACTGCTTTTTGTCCCAGAACGATATCCAGCGTATTTATAAGCCACCCGTTCCGAGCCCTGCCTACAAGTCCTCAATTACAAAATCTGCTATGTCCCAGTTCATTTAGAAACATGGAAGAAAATTCGATCACGACTATATATCTACTGGAAAAAAACTAATGCAAAAAAAGTTTGGCTCCACTGACCCCCCCTCCCCCCCCCCCCCCAGCCGCTCCTTTACCCAAAGCCTTTGATCACCCGTTTCCAACCATACCAGTACAAAGACCATACTTGGGCGCCACAAGAACGCTACCGTAATTTAGTAATTTCTGCAAAAATCTGTCAATCACATCAGCAAATCTAGTTCAGAGTCCATTTCACATAATAAAACATCACCCCATTTCTATTGAACCTTTGATTTCGCATGAAACCGTTTCAACGCTATCGTTACTGTACATTACAGTAACTCAAACCCACTTTGCTCTCTCCTTCTCGTCGTCCTCCTCCGTTTTCATCCTTTTTCCCGCTGGTGGCGTCACATCATCACGAGAATCGGACGAGTTCATGATTACCGATGCTTGTGAAGCGGTTGAGGTCGATGGGATTAGCGAGAAAGGGAATGCTCCTGGAAGGAAATTTATAAGGGACCACTAAATCGAGCGATTAGGGGGGGGGGACTCACCTCCAAGTTGCATATTGACAGAGTGTTGTGGGCTACTAGGTACGTTATTCAGTGGGGATCCTTCGACAATTGAATGTTTTTTCTGAGGACGCAACTGAAAAGGAGAAAATTGAATGGAAAGTCGGCTGAAGTGTTTAGAGTAAAGCAGATTAAATTTCTCAACTACAGAAAAGATTCCAAGATAATCAGATTTAACATTATAAAGTTCTTAATTGATCGATATAATTCGAATTTGATGGCTTTATTTGTTTGTTTGTTCTTTTTTTTTGTCTGTCTTTCAAAATAAGAAGCAAATTCGCTATTTGATGTCTCAGGCCCGATAACTTTTTGCTAACAGAACTTTCTCATTCCATTTACTTTCAACAGATACTTTCACTTTGATTTTCTTTCCACTTTGACTTTCTGTAAGCGTACAAATTTCTTTCAAGACACAAAAAAACGTTTATGAACCTTTAATCGACAACTTTCTTGTTGTGTCAATAGAGTTCATAAAAGAATAGAAACTTCTCCAAGAAAGAAAAAAATCAAAATTTGCAAGGAAAATTCATTTTTTAATCTTGCAAAACCTTGTAAGCCCTCAAGTTGAAACATCCCCATTGCATTTACTTTCAACAAGTACAGAACACCACTTTAATTTCCTGTAACTGCGCAAATTTCTTTCGAAACACGAAACATGAAAAAACGTCTGTCTCCTAATGCATGTTTCACATTTTTGTTCCACTTTCACCTTCACGGTCAATATTGACCAAACTTGTTGAGGACAGTTTTAGCCGCGTTTCGATGTTTACACAAAATTTTGCAGCAGATATTTTTTCTTTTATAGAAGCGATCCTGATTTGATCGTGTTTTTTTTTGAGTAAATCCCCGTGCTGTACAACAAATTTCATGGTCCCTCCACTGCTTCTCCATAGATATATCATGACTAATAATATGAGCTCATCAGTTACACGGCTTCGACAGCATTCAATAACACCGGATTAGCTCAAGCTGAAAATCCTCTTGAGCTGTTGTAAGGATCAGCTCCACTCCGGGTTTACATACTGATTGGCACGATCTGCAGATTTGCGACAGATTGCAAATATAGTTCAATCGTCAGATGAGCAGCTTTTCTCAGAAAATGCAACAGCTCAAAAGTCTTCTTCACAAGCCGCTTATGCCCCTTTTCATGATTTGATAAATTCACCATTTGTACGATTTGATCAAAGTTTGCAAAGCGAGCCACAAAATCAAGCCAATCCTCAGAATTTTACGCTTTCAAGGTCGCAAGATTACGGTAGAAAGCTTATGGTCATCAATCTCAATTTAGGTTCTGGTGGAGAAATTTCAAAACAAACTGGTTTCTCCAAGGAAAACTACAGCAAATGACCTTCTTTCTGTAGAAAGAAAGAGAAAAAGAATAAGAAAATCAAAGAAATGTCCATCATATGAGGGATAGCCCTAACGCCATACATACTTTATAAAAGAACCCACACCCACTTTTTGATTTTTGAATGCAGCGTTGAACGCATATGGTAACAGTACGGTATGTATACGGTAGTCATATGTAACAGATAGTCTAACAACCTTATCATAGATCAGAAGAAAGATTCCATATGAACTCAATTTTTGTCATAAGTTCTAAGATTTTCCGTAAGAGATACTCTTCCCTAAGAGTGCTTCCTTTACGGGAACATTTTCAATAATTCCATTTGTTTTTCACCCCCCCCCCCTCCCCCAAAAAAATTCTCCCAGCAACTCCGATCTCTCCCCTATCATCCCTCAAAACTATTATCCCAAGAGAATCTTGCGAACCACGCAAATCGTAGAGTCAAGATTATTACACAACTCTCAAGTTTTACTGCTGCTGAGACTAATGCCAGAGCTGTGTGTGTTGACAGATTTCTACACATTCATTTGCCAGCAAAAGCTCCAAGCAGAAGCAAACGATTTAGTAATGATGAGCAATAGGGAGGACAGCTGTCCAGGCAGCGAAAGTTGTTGTCCTAAATTTCACGACATTTTACGGATATGTGTACCAGAGCCGGGGAAAAAACTGCTCTGCATCTCAAATGTCCCTTCGGCGAAGTAGAAAAAAAAAGACCCGACCACACAACACAAAGATCACTTTGTTAACACAAAGGGCTTTGCCCCCTCCCTCTCTAAACTAAATTCCCGCTCTCAGCGTGATTTTACCCAATATTTTCTCAGAAAACTCGCAACAAAACGTTGCAATTCTCTACAGCGGCAACATTCGACCATCGAAAAAGAAACTCTCAAGAAAGCACATCACGATTGATAAGAGCACATCACAACGGCACGATCGCTTCAGCTACGCGGCCAAGAAAAACCACATGGACGAGTGCGAGCAAGCCGAAAGCAGAGAGAGAGAGAAGCAGCGATTTCGAACACATCGAAACTCAAGCCGCACATCAATTTCCAGATGTTAAACTCTTGCAATTAAATATGCAGTTCTACACGCATGCTGTGTAGCTTCCCGGCATCAGGAGAAAAAAGCTCAGTGAGTTTGTGTGATACATGTGTTTTAAAGTTTCAAAGTAACATGCACTTTCAATGAGATGCAATCCTTCAACTGCCAAAAAAATCTTCAAAAGTATTTTTACACTTATCCATTTCAAAGATTTTTTAGTGCAAAGCTTTTGAGTTATGCGCTTGACTCAATATACCACATTGTATGTAATTTATGTTCCACATTTCTGCAGGTGATAACCATCTAGATCAGCCTAATCACCTCATAGAAACTCCTCTTGTAAAAACGGAAACTGCCAAAGATCTCAGCGAATTTGCTGACAGATTACTGTATAACTACTGTAACTATAAGTTAGTAGATTTGACGGTTTATAAAGCGCCGTTGCATTGCAAACAACACTTGCGCCTGAGTAAATGGCCACAGAAGTGAAACTTAGGAATCTGCGCTCTACTGCCATTTTACCCGCGCAAATTGCCTACGTTTGGTAGATGCCAGACTTATGCAATTGAACAGGTTCATTCAGCTCATCCCATTGGCTATTGGTGAGTTCAAAGATTTGACCAATAGCGAATGGGCGAACCGGATAAGTGTGGCGCCTACCTTCCACGGCATTATGTTCACGCGCAAATGCTGTCTTCACCGCAGATGCACATTAGAAACCGTCAAATCTACAAGAATACATAGATATTTGCATTATGCATAAGCGATGCACAGCATCCTACCGTAGGCGACAAAAAAATGGTATTTCATAATTGCCCATTTTCAACGTTATTGATAAATCCTATTGAACTCTGCCCCTGAATCTTAAGATAAAATCATGCAATCAAAAAAAAGTTGACGTTTCAAATTCCATTTGACACTAAAACTTGATATAATCAGCTTTAGAACTGCTGACAATTTCAAGAACCATGCATATGTAAACAAACACTGATAAGGGTCAAAATCTTCGGGATTAAAACCACAAATCATGTTTCTTTGATTTTCGAATTCGCGTTTGCAATCACTGCTGCCATTGAGCTCTCGCCACTATCGCCGCTCTCTCACGTTCTCTCTCTCTGTCGAACAAACAGATTTTTCAAGCCCCAGCAAACACTTCAGGTGGAAAACGAAACAGTTGTTTCCGTGTTTCGAAAAATAAAACTGCTCTATGGCCTGAGATGTGAGAGTGTCGAATCTTTCGCTGAGAAACATGCAAAGTTTCTCTGGTTTGTTTACCAGCTGCCAAACATCTAACTCATTCGCTCTAAGTCAAACTTTGAACATTCAAAAAAATGGAAGCCGCTTCAAATCATGCCTAAGACATTTACCCGAATGACTGTTTGACGTAAATTCACACAAAAACGTTTGTAAACGATATTTCGTTGAAAGATTAACTTCAGTAAATCTTCTTGGAGAAAAACGCAGAGCTTAAGCAAAAAAAGGTCTCATGTGAATCGCTAAAAGCTTTAGAATGAATTGACGAGTACATTTACAACAAGGAAACAATGAAAAAGGAAGTCTTAGGCAAAAGGATTAATAAGTCATAAAATCTTGGCTTAACAGCAAACATTTCTATGTCAAAAAAAGTAAATAATCTCAATAGAAATGGAGCTACGGGGACATCTAAGAAATTAATGTTGACATGAGACTTTTGCGCTTTCCATCACAAGATTTATTACTATTTAGTTCACCATATCAAAATTAAGTGCATAAGCAGATAAATTCCAATTTTCAAACGCTAGAAGCCTCTTTGAAAGCTCTGACGATTTCGTCAGAAAAATTCAAAGCAAGTGAAGAAGAGGCGCGACAGCAGCAAAACGTTCGAAAAGGACAACGAAAAAGAATTTCACGAAAATTGGACAAAAAATGCAAGAAAAAACTACACAGAGCTGGTTGTGTAGCGAGGTACATGGGCGGGCTATTTGTAGGACATTTAGCAAAAAAAAAAATCAACGACTTCACACAGATCCGCTATGATCCAGATTTGAAAAATCGACGAAAATAGTTCGGTTTTTATGAAAATGTTACAAAAAGAGAAAAAAACTAAACTTTTTCTAGTTGAAAGGGTACCTCTTCAAGAAAAAAGTGTTCAAATGAACTCTTGTACTCGATCATGACGGATTTTCTTAGAATACATGTATGCGCAAATACATTATTTGCACAACGTGAATGTAATATGTCGGTCGGATTTTTTTTTCTCTTCGCTTCGTAAGCGATGGGTCCAGTTTAAACATACTCTCTCCAAAATACGTACACACTCTCTCGTTCACTTCGACACATCAGGCGCACTCACACCCACAATCACGCATTTCACTTCTAAGTGCAGCTTGTGTGCAAAAAATGCAAGGAAAAAATAATGAAAAAAGTAAATATTGCTAATTTTGCCACGGCTCTCAAAATACCCTTACAGAAAGCCCTACATAATCAATTTGCGTATTGTGGCTTAGTCCACAAATATCAGATCTGAGCGCAGATAAATCATGTTTTAAAATTATGTGACAAGTTTTTGAACACAAAATAATTTAACGTAGTGTCAACTTCGCATTCAGTATAAAATATTCCAAAAGCTTGAGTCTAGTTTTATAAAATCAGTATGTGATACAGGGACAAACTGCGCTGCCTCCTCCTACCACTGGTCCTTACATAATATACAGTAGTAAGTCTGAAAGGATCAGTTGTCCGAGAACAGGGCGCCTACTGGCAGAAATCGTTTCTATTTGCCTTGATATGTAATCAAAGAGCAGTCTACAAGACTCTGCAAGAAATTCCCATACAATACGCAAAATCCGGAAAAAGTGTACCAACTATGCCGCACTCGGTTAGATAGACCGCCCCCTTAGCTGCGGCATGGTTGTTTTTTCTTTGCAAAACTGCATCAAAACAGCTACTTCAATTGAAAATTCAACATTTCTCTAGGAGCACACTAGCGAAAAAGATGTTCTTACCTTGTTTGGTGTAGTGGCAAGAAACGCGGCGGCAGCAGTGGGATTCTGTGCCAAAGCCGCTGCAATGGCTCCCATATTTCCGCCAAGATTTCCACCAAGAAGTTGGAGATTTTGCATTGCTTGCATCTGCTCCAAAAGAGCATTCATGTTGCCCGGCATGCTAAAAAAATATCGTACGGATTATTCCCAAGTACTTGGAGTTTAACTCCTCACCTTTGCTGCTGCATCTGTGGTGGAAGAAGTCCGGAAAACCAACTAGGTAATCCTGAGGTATTGGTGTCTGCTTGTGAAGTGGGCGTAACCGCCTGAAAATCAGAATTTTAGACCTTTACTCCATCTTCCCGGTCACACAAATGGAGTTACAGTACCCCAACTAATCAAATAAACTATAGGTTAGTTTATACTTACTACCAGGTTATATACCTTCGGTGACGGTTCCGGCCCAGCATCCTGAGTTCCTCCCGTAATAGACGCCGATCCCGACGATGGCAAGCTTGATGGCGATGGGCTACCACCACCCATGCCCATTTGATTGAGGTAGAGACTACGAAGCGCGTTGTTCCCAGACAATGCAGACTGCAGAAATGACACAATTACCGTAGTCCAAATTTCGAATGATCTGATAAATTAGTGTAAGTCTCCGTGTGTACCTGGTCCAGCCCCATCATCAGCTGTTGTATATCCATGCTTGGCCCAGAATCGGCCGCACGGCTTAAAGCTGAGAGATCCACACCCGACTGAGATGAAAGCATATGGCTGCTGTTGCTATTCGTCGGATGTCCGTGTTTTGACGCACGATGAGTGGCCAGATAGTATTTATTGCAGAATTCCTTCTGAAATCCACGAATTCAAATTGTTCCAGTGCCTTCTTTCCTACAGCAATTAAACCCGGAAATGGTAAGATACAGGAAGAGACAAAAGCTGCCGGAAAGTCCAAATTCATAAGATGTCAAGAAAAAAGCGGGTAACAGAAAACAAACCTAGACACAAGGCAAAAAATGCTGTGAGCATGAACAACCTACCCGGCTCACAGAAGGACAACACTGAATCTACAACAAATTAAAATGATGTAATTGGTCTTATCACGCGACTTCTAATTACATTATCAGGATGAGCATAAACAAAATTTGAGTAAGCTGAGAATGAAAAAGACTGCTACAGTATCCCCGAGGTTTCTACAGTATGCTTAAAGGTCGCAATGTCAGAGTCGCTTAGCGCCAATGCAATCATTGAGAAAAAGACCTTCATAAAATGAAAAACCTATGAGATTATCGTGATACCGTAGTCGGAGCTCTAGTAACGTTGAAGAAGCTTTGAATAACAGATTGGGGAAAGAGGGGGAGGGGAGGGGGGTAAGTTTGGGGTCTAATATGGGTATGCAGTGGCTACCATATCGGACGAGTTTTTTTTCTGCCCCCTGTCAGATGCCAAGTTTTCCACACACCAGTAATGAGTGAATATCAGGATCGGGGAGGGTGGGGATGAGGGGTAGGGCTAGAAGGGCGGGGGTGAGCTGATACTGATGAAAGCATATAGCCATCTGATAAGTAGCCAGAAAAGTGGAGTGACAGGAACTCATTTGGTAAACACTGATCATTCCGGGAAACTGACCAGCGCCTACCGCCATAAAAGTCTACCCAACAGGTAGCCGCACAACTAGTAAAGTATAGCCATGTCGCGAGCTAATGGTATAACGCATGGCTAGGTGAGGGTGTGTTACAATGCTGGCAATCAGTGGCAGTCCCATCTCTCTCTCCGCTTCTTCGTTGAGAAAATAACAAACATCAAAATGGATTTCGGTTTCGAATGGAACATGTGTCGTATGTGAGTGAGTGTGTGGTGTGAGTGTGCGTGTGTTTGTGTGTGTGCTGCTGGTTGGCGTTCGCGTTCGTCCGCTGCTGTTCGGCAGCGGTTCTTCTTTGCGAGCGGATCATCGTATAGAGTCATGCATCACTTCGGTGTGGCAGATCTGCGTTGCACAGCTTGAACAGCAAGCCGTAAGTTACTGATTCGACAACCGCTTCGCCACTCAAACGACGTAAAAATACACAACAACACAGATAAACAAGCACAGGTAATGCACATGCCAGCCGTCATCGAAGAACCGCTGCTGTCCTGCTCGTTCATTTCGTAATGTAGGTCTTGTCACATAGTATAGTTAAAAATAGGAAAGTCTAGCAGAATACTAGAACCCTGGGTTTATTTGTGTGGAAAGTGATTGGAATGCCTTTATTAAGGCAATGCTCAAGCAGCAGTTTATATGGCTTAACCGTAGCCGAGCAATTCAAATCCAAATTTTAACCCGGACCGTACCTTCTACCGTACTAGAGGACCTTGATTGGTCAGCTCTGATAGCCTACGATTTGGGCAGGAGTTCAGACATTTTTTCGGTTATGGTACCATGTTTTTTTATCTGGGAATTAGTTGAAATGCCTTGACTGAGCCTTCAACCAGGCGGCAGCTCTTGCGATCCATCCGTGCCCGAAAAAGTTCGGCTCCAAATTCAGCCCATACCGTACTTTTTACTGAAGGACAATGATTGGTCAGTAGATAGATTACGGTCTGGGCACTCGTTCATAGAGTTCTCGCCCGTGCCGGGTATTTGATTCGGAGAAATGTTGGAATGCCTTAATTACGATATTGCTTGAGCAGCACTTATATGACCCATTCGCCGCCTAGAATTTCAGCTCCAAAATCCCTCGCCCATACCATACCACACTGGAGGAAATCGATTGGTTCGCCCAAATAGATTACGATCTGGGCAGAACTACAGATGATTTCCTTAATCGTGACAATGTAAAAAGCTATCGTTTGGGCAGTGGCTCAATCAAAAGTCCCAAGTATTTATTCATTTAAAATAATTTGAATTTGGATTATAACAGGAGAAAGAATGGCTCACGGACCAGCACTGATAAAAGACCCAAACTACTCATAGTTAAAAATACCTACTCAAAGCTCAATCAATCAACCTAAACTTAGAGCCATTTTCTCAGAATTTTCTTATGAAATCCTAACCATAAAAAGTTAGCTATTTTTCACTTCTTATCAGAGTTCTAAACAAAAAAGAGTCTTAAATTGTAACATAACAACTGACAATGAGCGATGAGGAGACTGGATAGATGGATCATTTCAACAAATGAATGCAACAAAACTCTTTGCGAATCTCCAGGAAAATATCCAGGAAGTAGCAAGAGGAAAGTAAATAGTGCAAAAGAGGTGACACACTACTTGTTATTTCGGAAATTCAAGAAATTTTCCACACAAACTTCAACTAATTCGCTTTAAATCCTTCTTCGGATAAACAGATGCTATTACGCATTTAGATGTCATGACATTTTTCACGTTAATTTTTCTAACCTTCTGCTTATCGTTAGACAAAGTCTTGTTTTGTTAGCACAGTAGACGCAAATGCTTAATCCGCACTTGGAAGTCTTTTGAATTTTCAACGGATTAAAACTGAAGATTAGCAAAAGTGTGGAGAAAAACACTCATCACTTGATTCACATTTATCTTAGTAAAGTAAAGCTGACTATTCGTTCACATTTCAGTGTTGTAAACGAGGGATTAGATGAAAATGAAGGGACGCAAACAATGCACTCTGGAAAGGACGCATTTTTGCGCAAGTTACTTTTGTAAACGGAAATATCATTGTAATTCACTTAGCATATGATTTACTTCCCTCAATGAGCGCTCGCACTACTTAGTATTTCTTCAAATCGTTTCCACCGAAATTTTTCAAAAATTCTGGCGAAATTAGTATTTCGCAATAGTTTGAAAAAACTCGAAAAGGAAAAAGCGAAAAAGTTAAGCAAATGCCGGGCACAGCTAATACTAACACTAAGCAAACAATTCAAGTAAATCTTTACATTTACCAATCTGTAACAAGTAGAACTCGCTTTCCGATTTATGATCTTTCGCATGATGTATTTACCTTAAGAAAGGACGTTTTGAGTTCTCAAATCGTTATTTACTGTTCGCTTCTACTGACTACCACTTAACTTGCAGTTATTATTAAACATAACCGATATTTTGAGAAAAGAGAATCGCTTCTTTGTCCATTTAATAGTGGAAAGACGCAGAATATCATCAAACTGCAAATTGAAAAAAATTCCTGGCACTACCAGTGAGTCCTCGAAAAAATCACTTTCCTTTTCCTTGAAAGCGAAAAGAAAACACTACAGAATCTCAACAGGAACAATTTTGAGTTGATGCCATCACTGAACGATAATAGAAGAGTCAAGCAGAATAAAAGAGACATAATCATTCGAATAAAGCTTGTCTGATAAGTGATAAATCGTAATGAATAAGTGCAGCTTTTATCCATCCGAAAAAGCTGATTTTGCTTTCTGTTGAAGTTTATTTCAAAACTAATGAGGAAAAAACTAGAGCAAAATGAGATATAAAAAGGGTTGATTTTTACCTACTTTTAGTTACGAGAGTTCATCACTTTGCAATCAGGGGCTTTTACAAAACTGCAAAAAACTGTGATAGATGGATAACAGAAACTTTGCTATCGGTTTACATGCAGAGAAGTGCTTCTTCGAAAAATATACAGCAAACTTTCAATGAATGCAGTGACAAATTACCTCTTCAACAAAACGAGGAAGAAAAGAAGATGAAGAAGAGTAGAAAAATTAGCAAAAAAAGTTTCAGCGAAATTCCATGAGTCACAGAGATATATAACCTCTCAATTTAGGCGCAGCAAATCGGGGAAAGCTTCGAGAATTAATTGGATTCGCTAGCAACTTGAGCTCTTGTTTCAAAATCAGTATGGCCGCATAAGGGTGTACACGACAAGCGAGAGCAGAATTGCTCGTATCGTCGGAGGCGAGGCGAGAGACGAGGATTGAAGGTATCAAATCACCGGCTCTAATGAGAAATAAACAAATTGTGAAACTTGCTCGATTTCGGCCATATGTGCCGCCGTCGCAGCGGCGGCGCAGGAGCGCCATTGGCAAATCGCGAGCGGAATTCGGCCTCGTTTTTCGCGCTCTCATATCGCTCATGAGATATGTGGAACAGTGCCAATGGATATTCGAGGGATTCACACAACAGCACTCGGTCATAAAATCGATTTGATTGTTTCAAATAACCTAGGCAAGGAGGTAAAACCGCTACAAGAAAATAATTAAACTTAGAGATTCCAAAAAGACTTAGTTCGAGTCATGCTTCACTAAAGGCAAGGAACGAAAGGACTGAGTTGGTAGTTCCTAACATTTTTATTTCTTATCATGGCATTTTTTAAGTAAATCAAAATTTCTAGATTTCTTAATTCTCAGACGACCCACCAAAAGTTCTAATCGAAGCCAGTACCAAAGCACAAAAGCCTTGATCTACCTTTTAGCGTCAATAAATCTCTTTCACGTTTCAAATCCTCGGAAAAAACTCAAAAAACTCCAATCAAAACCTTTAACAAAGCACAAAAGTCCTAATAAAGTAATAGTTACAGCTTTACCACTATCAAACTTCAAATTAAACATCCCAATTCTCTGGAAAGAGAACCAGAAGATATAATTTGATAAACAGCTAAAAGAAAATAGCAGTACGCAGTTTGTGGAGGTGCAAACAATAGATCGTTTAAAAAACCTGGTTTCGAACAACAAACTACGAGATGATGACAGCTGACATGACAGCAGAGGGTCGAGGTATGTAAAAAATGTAATTAGATTGAAAAAAAGCTTTTTATACTTTCTGATAAAAATTTCAACAGAACAGGAGATATTGATATCAAATGAGAGTTCTTTTGGAAAAGATTACAATTATTGTCGCAGTACTCATAAAAATCCACAAATATATTAAAAAAAAGTATGAGACCGTGATTTTATAGACCAGGAATTTGCAAAATTCAAACAATCACTCCCCCCCTCCCTGGCTAATAATTAAAGCACAAGCAGCTGCTGCTACACAGCAGCAGTAACACACAAAAACTGATAACAACATAACGCCAGCTTATCTTTTCCAGAGTGCTCTCTCATAAGAACATTCGAAAATCGCCTTTAGGAATTTTGCTCTCGAAAGTGCAATTCAGAAAACCAAAAAGAAAAAAAAAGGTATAGAAAGCTCGTTAATTGATGTAATTATGCACAAAAGTAGGCTACTGCTGAGTAAACCTCTGCAACAAACACATCATCGGGCAAAATGTGCGTCATGTACAAAACCGGGCTGTGGTGGACTTCACAGAGCCATATCGTCATAATAATTGAACCAAAACAACATTCATAACTACTGGATATATTACTGGCACTGTAGCACTCAACATACACACACAGTTATTACAATCAAACCGGCTTAAAACTACTTTGGTACGAGTTCGCACGCGCGCCGCGCCAATGTTCACGGAAACGGTAACACGCTCGCATTAGACAGCGATGATTTTTTTTGAGAATGAGAACTATAAATATCGCACAAACTGACTGGTAAGAGGTAAAATCAACTCTATAACGGGAAATACAATACGATAAATCGCTAACATAAAATTTTTACGATCACACGAAGAACTCGCCATGAGACTCCTCCCCAATTTTTAGGAGCTCCAGTCCCAATTGCGATTCGAACAATTCACACCCTATTAGAGCGCGCCAAAAACTCGAGCGCTCGGCTTATGAATGGCTACTGGCGTCGAATACCGTAGCCAACGGATACAATTTGAGGCCACTAGGGCATGAGTTCGAAATTTTGGGCTGCTGTGTTATCGAAATTGGTCATGAATTTGTCGCGAAAATGTCTTATCGGTCGCAAAACTTTTGACATGAGGCGTCTACCGTTAGAGTGTGTTGTACTGTTCAAGTGATAACGATTTCGATGCTTTTAGCACTGTTGCAGAGAAGCTGCAGACAGTTCAAGTGACTGCACTTGAAATTCTTGGGAATACGGCAAAAAGTTAAAGGGTCCCTTCCAAGAGCATATCAACAGATTTTTGCCTTTGAGTCCTGCAAAAACAACAGCCAATAGCCCATTTTTCTTCACCTCAAGCCAAAAGAACTCAATCAAAAGCCAAATTTCCGTCCCAGACATAATTTTACATTTCCTGGAACATTTTCTGAATCATTCACACTGCGATTCCCAGAAAATCTTCCCCTAACGTCCCCGAAATGATGCAAATTTCCCAAAACTAAATGTAGAAATATGGCCTACTCCAGAAACAACACACATAGGAAACTGCCTTGTGATTAACAAAACCTGATTCAATTCATTCACCACGCTTGAGAAAAACTTCTTCAGACATTGCAATCAATTCGAAAGATGATTTGAAACATCACTTTGTTGACACCGATCATGATATAAAAATCAGTAACACTGAAGATCTCTAGCAAACCTATAATTTAAAAATTACTTTTTTGAAAAAATGCCTCGTAAAGTCCTCAAAGCGACTCTCGGTTCAATTCATCTTGCTTTTTCTGGTGAACATGAACACCGAAAAAGTCCCCTAATGTTCCCTAATTGCAAACTTCCCAAAATTTGATGAATTCTTCAAAATCAAACATTAACAACAGTCTACAGCATTATAATGCATATTTTTGTCTCCCTAATGCGAACTTCTCAAAATTCAAGTGAAGACGCTTTTTCTTGTAGAATTGTTCAACAACACTTCAGCCGCAAAACCGGATTTTTAACAAGGTCAGACAAATATTTCACAATTTTTAATCGACTGCATAGGACTCTCGTGCAGAGTCATATAGACGAGTAAATGTTTAGATTAGAAGTCTAGAAATTTCGCCGGGGTAAAAAAAAAGGTGAAATCAGAAACAATCGCAGAATAAACGAAGCTAACGAGAATTCTTATAAAAATAAGCAGATTACTTCGGAAATGCCAGTTTGTTTCATCCGATTTTGTAGTCAAAGTAGACAAAACGAGTTTTATGATTATTAACAGTGATAACCAAATTCATGACTAATGAATTCAAGGAAATAGGCGCTTGAAAAAACTTTCAAATGCAAAATTACAATTCCAAATTTGTCCAAATGTCTACTAAACAATCATTGGACATATGACAGAGAAAGTGCAATGATGGCTAATCCAAAAATATGATCTCAATGTGCAAAACTGGAACTCGATTGACAAAAATGATGACCACAGTCTAGTAAAATGAGTTTTGATAAAAGCATTAATATTGCCTAATACGACAGTAATTAATTCTATAAAGCTCCTTAAAATTCTAAACCCCATTTCTCATCAAAGACAACAAATTTCTCAATCACAAATTGAACTGAAAAAAGCTTGAAAATGCCGTCGTCCTGCTGCTCATTTCTCCACGCCCCTTATCATCAGACACACGCTCGCCACCGCTAACCTTTTTTGTTCTCTCCATTAACGCGTTTTTTTCGCGAAAGTTCTTTTTTTTTCTTGGCCGCTGTGACTTTGACATTTTCACGACGTTTCAATTGGACATTAACATACAGCTAGAGAGACGAGATATTACAGACAAACTAACCAAGATTTTGCTGCCGATTCGCAAGTGCAAATAGCAGCTCCGCCTATTTTATCGCGCGCTATCGCTACACTTCGTTACGAATGTCAAAATGACAAGTGTCGTCGTTGAAATTGTGCTGATCGCTGCTAATTTCTCATCTTTAGACTAATTATCATTGAATTTCTGATAATACATATTTCAATGATATGAAATGACATAAGGCGCCACACTTGTGTCAATCGAAACGCTGCTGTAAAATAATAAAAATTTTTTGCTACTTTTTTGTAGACACTAGTTTTCGATATCACTTGCAGACTGAAAAAAGCCTTATATGGCAGAATACCTCGCAAAATAAAAAACCTTTTTCTTCCCCCACTCCAGGTTTTTAGACAGCTTCTACTTTTGCAAAATCGTGTACAATCATTTTTTGCAAGACAGATCAAAACACCCAAAACGACGCCTATTTGCAGAAAACTGTCCTATATACTCCCATACCGTCCTGAAACACTGCGGATGATTTTTTGCACACTTCATTGATCACATATCAGTATTGGAAGAAGAAATTTCCGCATGTGTAAAAGTTCGTCTTTTTAATAGCGCTGCAACAGACTTGCACATTGTAATACACAGAAAGATTATTCATTTCGAATCATACAACCAGCGTGATGGGAAATTAGCTATCTTGAAGCAAAAAAGATGGTGGTAGAAACTAGATTATAACAGTAGTTTTGAACTACAAGGGCATTACCTTATCTAGAAAAAATGACTACACTTCATTGCAGTTTATAAGCCTGTAAAAGTCAATTTGTTGTCAGCAAAGATATTTTGTCAAGATCTAAAAAAACATAAAAAGAGTAAAAGTAGAACGAGAACAAAAACGCAATCAAACGGACTCAAAAATGATCTTCAGAAATTTTGAAAAATTGCTGCTTTCAGTTCGAATTCGAGAATTTATTAGCCAAGTAAAGACCTAAAGACCACTAAATAACAAACTCCGTCCCACTTTCTTTGTAAAACTAATGAATCTCAGCTGGTTTCTCTTACTCTGACTCACTCAACCATGGGGTAAGTTTGTTCAATCAGTTATAAAATGACGAGGGTGTCGAAGAATTCAAACATTGATTACTTTGACGAAAGAAAAACGATAGAAATCGAATAACAAACAGAGTTTGTTGGTGTTGAAAACTTTTCGACTAATGCACATACATACACATACACGCTTAGTGCAACGGTACGGAGAAAAGTAACAAGTTCTACATCAGCAATACCACACCTCTCTCTCTCTTTCTGTAAATGATTCAGTCATCGAAATAGAATGGAAATGGGAAAACGTTAGGCAAATGGGGAAAGATGGGAAAGAATCTTCGAGAAAGCTTGGGCTATTTTAGAATATTTTATTGGCTCTGCTTACCTGACAGATATCACAGTATGCTTCCGGATTGAACACTTTGCCACCACCCGTTTGGGTCGTCTCGTCGTCCTGAAATCAGCAAAATCCCTCCAGACTCTCGACAACTGATGCAACAAAAGAAATCATCAAAGTCAGTTTTGCAAAGTAAATCGAGAGCAAACAACATAAAGATCGTTCAATGCGATTGACACCGTGTGTCAATTAGAAAATGCCGGCGAAAAAACACACATTTCAAGTCGACACACACACAACTGCCATACGGCAAATAACGCCAATGACATAGAGAGTGAAATGCGAACACTTTGAAGAAGGAGAAGTCAAAACACATTCAAATACACGCACTCCGAAATTTATGCGTCTTCTTGTTCGCGAGTTGTAAATTGCTTCGTTGATAAGCATGACAAGTGCTGCGAAAATAAGAAAATTATCACGAAAGTCACATAAATTTTTTGGTCCAAGAATGTAGGCTGATTGCTTTTTTCACCGCAACATTATTATCCATTTATTTCAGGCTTCCGAGACTAACAATCTTCAAACAGGAACAAACAAACAGTCTGTCCTAATATGTAAGCAAATATTTTTCTGTCAAAGTTTCTGGATGGACAGTAGATATGCGAGTTATCGACGTCAAGTTATTTGGGAAGATTAGAAGAACGAATTCCGCCATAGGCGCCGCCTCCGCGGATAACTGATCCTTTCGCACATGCAACTGCATATAGTTCCAGGACCAGTAGTCCGCGTAGGCGGCGCTTAATGCCAGAATAGGACCTTCTAAACCTCCCAGATGTCTTGAAGCTGTTAGCTCGCACATTTAACCATCCAGAATTTTCAAGAAAAAAATTGTCGACCTCTTCTACTAGTTATCTCGCAGTATACTAATTTTTCTAACAGCAAAAAAAAATTCAAAATTTCTTGGATTTTTCCCTGTTGTACTGCAGCTACGGACCTAAGTTATAGAAACCGAGTGATTTATATCGGAAGACTTTGTGGACATCCTGAGCTCAACGTAACTCAAATTTGACAAAATTCATACTAGGGGAAAAAATTAAACCCGCTTCATTCTTTCAAAAATCAACAAGAAGCCCAACAAACCTAGCAATCCACTTAGAAACTCAATTATTCCATGACTCACACAAAGAAAAACATTGAAGAATTATACACTCCCCAAATCTCATTGTAAAGTTTTAAGAATCACGATTTGAATAGTTGGCATAGCCACAGCGAAAGTGGAAATCATCAAAGATGAGAGTAAACTTCTTAAAGAGCAGCTGTTCGAGTTTTTACTAGAAAAAGCCACTTCGAAAATTGTCTAGTCCATTTATCACTACTCTGTGTATTCAGTGTTAAGTGCAGCCGAATAGAATCAGTGTGTTAAGTGCAGCTAAATAGACGTTTGCAGATGGGCGTTTCAGGTTTGCAAAACTCAATTACTATTCAAAAAAATTTTTAAAAATAGCTTAAGTGAAGAATAGATATGAATTTTTGGGAAATTTTACTGAACATAAAAACTTTTTCTTAAGCTTCACGTAAACAGACGTTGACTCAACGTCTCAAAAAACAAGATCTTGCCATTAAAAGCTTGTCAAAAAGCAACGCTGAATACTGAAAACATTTTCCGCGCGAATTCTATCAAAATTATACGAAAAGTTATACGAAACCACATTCATCAAAGCATCATTGAAATTTCAAACGTTTTTCGTTGCCTTTAACACATCTCTTGCATAACAAAATGCACTTAACATCGTTTCACAGCTTCTGCTTCAATAGTCTATGCAAAGAGCGTTTCGTTTTCGAATAACAAAACGTTAAATCGTCGTTTCCTGTAGACACATATCGCGGAACAGTGGGGGAGATTACGAGGCGCCTATCCAATAAAATTTTATAATCTAGTCGAAACATCGAGTCCCATCATGAATCATATTCAGAAAAAGCAAAATTTCAATGCCCATCAAAGTCGGGGAACATCAATTGCCGCAAACGATCTGTTACATAACCGACTATCATAGGCAATGATGGGGGGTTGACTAATGCTGTGGAAATGAAGTTAGTCTGTCATGAGGGTTTTGCTAAATGCAAAAACCGTATTTAGGATAGGGAACTGGGGAGATTATCTCGGCTTGAAACTACTTAGGATTAGGATGATAACCTCGAGCCTTCAAATCTTGGAAAATTAATACGCAGAATCTTTTAAGCTTTATCATATGGGGATATGGAGAAGATTGAGGATATAATACTGTACAGATAGAGAGAATGAGGATTCAATTTGCGGATACTGAAGTTCGACATTTCGCTGACCTTCGAATTTTATTGCAAATTTGCGATAGAACAGAAGGTCATTAGCTCTCCTTGCTAATTTGTGCAATTGCACATTACCCAAACCGTAGAAGAACTACGCAGGTCCCAAAGGATGGAGTGTAACATGTGAAATTTCTCATGCTACCCAAAAAATAGTTTTCCAAAAACAAGGTAGCCAAAACTCAAAAAAGTGTAGTTTGCCCCCGCATAATTAATCCTCCTGAAAAAGCATTTGACACATAGTTAGAAAACGCACACAGATTCAAATCTCAAGGAATTATTCTTTGCTGTTGCCTCCTCATAAATCTGTAAAAAAGCCAAATATTTTTGTTTCTTGATGAAATTTGCTGTGATTCTGTAAAGTATAATTCTCTACTCGTACTATAAGAACCAAAAATTTCTGAGTTACATTAGGATTGAAACAATTTGCGCCAAGTGCATCCCACCCACTTCTGCACTTCCAAACTATTTCCTCAATTATTCTGCTACTTCATCATCGAGATTAATTCTACTCAAACTTAGACTTCTCCTAATATAAAGCTAATCATGTCAGACGTACATTCACATACAACCTCGAATCGTTTGTAAGTTACTATGTGAGATTGCACATTATGCGCAGCAACCGACAACACCCCTACTACTGATTCTCAGCAAAACCTTTCCTAGCGTAACGAACCGTGCACATATATACTACTTATTGATATATGTTAAATCAAAGCGAGATGGGAAACAGGGAGAAATCACTGGAAATAAGCATTTTTTGAACTTACAAGTCGTCAAGTAGCGCGCATGGTGTGCAATACACATATTAAGTAACAAATGACTCACGATACACACACATGCACACACTCACGCAACTTATGCGTGTTACACTTCGCACCGCACTCATCTCGCTTGGAAATTCTAAGAGCAAATCCACAGGATGAGAGAAAGAGATAGCACAAGGCGACGAATGCCTAGGCCCGGTGCGGCTCTCCGAGGCGAAAAAATCACTCATCGCCTCAAATCATTAGATTTCAGGAGCACATGTGATGGAAATTGTTACACTCAACAAGTGGGGCTATAGAAAAGATGCTTACGCGCATTTCTAGGTATCTCATTCACTGAGGAAATTCTCCCCTCATTACTGTAGCGCTCTTGAAGCCAAAAAATCTGCACTTCTCGATTTATACAAGGACATTTTGAAGCTTCGACATCTAATCCGCGGCGAGAATAATCTCAAGTTCAGGACAGTTAATGCACGCTTTGTGTCAATTTCAAAGACTTCATTCAGCTTCAAGCCATACATCTAAAGGTTGCTGACCTATAAAGAAATCTAAGTGATGGATGGTGCACATATTAATGTTATGAAAGCAAAGTGGTTCTCGGAAAATCTATTGACAAAAGAGTAAACAGGATCATAAATCGCTTCAGCTTGGAGGTTTCTGAGTAGAAAGTCTTCAAAGGACTAAGTGAAAAGGATTTTCCAATATAGAACACATTAGCAAGCCTCATCAAGAAACCTCAATCTATCATTCTTCAGCAGGGGCGAGAAGGAAGGGGAGGGGGGGGGGGGAAGCGAAAAAAAGAAGGTTTTTGCAAATTTCTTTCTAGCTAGCTGAAGGAAAAACAATAGGTATCGAGAGCTATGAAGCTCACTTCATGAATAAAAAGGTGTACCCTTCCCAGCAATCAAATCTGCACCCAGACTACAGGCAAAGGTAAAGGAATGCATAGCGCCATTGAGCGAGGTTTTTACAGACCACTAGTCCCTTGCGCCTATACTAAGACATATCGTTCAAGGAACAGTAGCCCAGTGGTATTCGCTCTTCTTTCCTTTTGTAAGAAAACTGGTAAAATGATAGGTAATCACACAATTTTCCAAATTAGGCAAAATGGGAGCCCAACACTTACCCGAACTACCCGACCTATTTCAATATAGGTATCCCCACTACTAGTTCACATAACTCTAACCGGGAAGAATAAAATTTCCGCTAAAAGTAGGTACTAACTACCAGTTCTCGAACTCAAAACAACACACTTAACAATCCACAAACTCGATTCTAAATCCCGTTTCGGTAGCCGCGCGCCGACACGGTGATGGTGTTGAACGCCGTCGGGAAAAGCGATGCGTATATATCTCAAAGAGAACTAATTAAGCAAATCACGTCGAGATACTGTGTGTTCAGATCAACTCGCACATCTCTAACCAACCAACACACATTCTGCGCATTTATCCAACATACGTACACACATACGCATACATCTTACATTAACTGGTTTCGCTTCACAAAGTGGCGACCATTTCGGCCTGGTTGTGGTTCTGCGTGTTCAAAAAGACGACCAGTTCAGTAATTTGTGCTACGCGGCCGACAAGGCGTTAACCACCCATCCCATCCCTTCTAGCTGTAGATCAAAGCTCCGGATTTCTTTTAGTTTATAGGACTTCCACCAATAAAAAAACGAGTTTCGACATATGGTAAGAGACAACTCGTCCACTCGAGGAGCTGTTCAAGTGCGGTGGTTTTAGGGACATCAGTTGTTACTGTGTGGCGAAGTGCAAGCGCGGTAGCATGCCTAATTGAGAGTGAGTTTTGGCGTAATTCGATTCCCACAGTTCAGTTAATTGGACAAAAACGGTGGCAAATGGTCGTGTAGGGATGCAAAGGGGACAAAAAATCCTCGTCAAATTTTCCTAAAATAAAAGAACTTCCCAAATATGTAAGGATCCGATCTAGACATGTCAACATCATGCAAGTAAAGATTTGAAAGGGCAAAATCTTCGCTAATACCAG